CAGATTCGGTTGGCTAGCAGAACAGATTGCAGTCATCCCACGGGTCAAACCAGAGAAAAATTGTGGCTCAGGGAAAACTGGAGCTGTGACCTGGAGCGCATCACCTGAAAAACAATTTGGTGTCTTCTGCTTTAATGACTCAGGTACTGGTACCTTACAGCTCGGTAAAAGATTTGTTTCATAATGAAGCCGACACTGCTGAATCTGTTTTACCAACCTGTAACAAACGTGTCATAAAGGCAGTCATTTTTAGCTCTATCAGATCAGGACGAGACAGTGACAACGTTAGCAGCCGGCCTGCCATCATCCCCAGCCACCAGCTCACAGGCGGCGCTGACCCGGTCTTCATCCCCTCTCACAACTTTGGTCACATCAACAAGGTCTCCACCATCAACAGAAGTAACCACTCGCCCTAAGGAGACATCCTTAGATTTTAAACTCCTGATGGAGACAACAAGAACTTCCTCCCCCTCCTCCCCATCACCTAAAACCGATCCTCCACATCACCTTATAACCTCCAAAAAGGCTGAGGTCAGTTTGGAGTTCCTGACTTCCCCTCAGGCAGCAAAGCCTCCACTAGGAGGTTAGTCACCATTCTTTAGTAGTAGGTTTTTATACTTAAACAATAAACAATAGCAGAGTTTAGGATCAGGTTTTAAGTGATTTGCTAGCCACCACCTCACTAACTTCTACTCTGGTTGTACTTTTAATCAGCTGGACCTACAGCGCTGCTCAGTGTCGGGCTTGTTCTGCTGCTCCTGATAGCAGCAGGTGTCGGGTGGTACTGCAGACCGTAAGTCATGTTTGCCTTTAATCAAATGATTCAAAATGTGAATGTCATTAAAAGACCCAAACATTTATCCTTAAGGTGCAGGGCCGATGCAGGGCCAAGTAAAAAGTCACAAAAATGTGACTTTACACTGTAAACAAAGAAATGTTTTGGTGATGTTTTTATTTGTGCAGCTGAAAAAGAGCTAAAACAGACGTGTTAGTAAAAGTCTGAACATAAGTGTTTTAATGGCTGATGAACATCAGCAGACTGCTGACGATGGCGAGGCATGAAGAGAAGGGTAGAGCAGAGAGAGTTTGTGGAGTTAGGTGTTTATGTCTTTGGGTCAGGTTTGGTCAAGAACATGGATCAGTATGGAACTAGGATTGGGACAATATTCAGCGTAACTTGTACCAAGTTTTGTAACTTCGAACATGTTTCATCACATGTAACTTTGGATTCGTAACTTGTAACTTTGGATTCGTAACTTGTAATTCTCAATTCGTACTTGTATTCTTGTTTTGTAACAGGAACATTGTATTTTGTACATGTATTTTTTATTTTGTAAAATCAAACATTCATTCAGAAGCATGAAACTTTTGTTTTGTAACTAGCAGACTTCCAAATTGAAAAAAATCAAGGTACAAGTTTGAAATCAAAGCTCCCAAAACACACATTTCATTCTACAGGTACAAACCTCAAATCCTACAGTGTTACGAATCTTTTTGTCTCGATTCTAGCGTCAGTGGGAGGAACTTGGGTGGAACCAATGAGAGCACGAGTCTTGGCTACCAATCACGTTTCTCGAATTCCTGTCCAATCATTGGGAGAGGAGGGCAGGGTTTTGTCAGAGCTGTAGAGAGTTACAACACTCCAATAGACTCCTATGGAATGGGGAAGTCACGTGGTTCATGTGGTTTCGAATAGTTCCAAACAGCCCCGCTGCTGCATTGACTGCAGTTCATTTTCGGTGTTTCGGAAGGATTTTCTCCGGTAAGTTGATGAAATGTCATCATTTTGTTGCATTGTGAAGCGTTAGCTAACCGCTTCGTTGTCTCCTCACAGAACAAGGCTATCCCAGCATGCTTTGCGCACCGGCTGTGGATTTTAAACAGGCAGAGAAAATGGGGAGAGCTACGAAGTTTTAAACGTAAGTTTGTTAAAAACTAGCCGTAGAAATCTAAAAAGCTTACAGCGGTTCAGTTTATAGACATTTTTCGTTTGTTTATTTGTTTTTAAATTACATTTTAAGCAGAAATCAGCCAGAATGAGTTTGTATCGCGGGTCCCAGTTATTCCCGTGTGTGTGTGTGTGTGTGTGTGTGTGTGTGTGTGTGTGTGTGTGTCGAATTAAACATGTCAAGCGTTTTTATTCAGCTTAGAGGTGAAGAGTGAAGCTGTTTACACACACAACCACAGTAGTTCTGCTGTGAAAAGTAGTTTTACATTCAGGGATTTACACAGTTGACACGTTAGAATGAAGTAAAAAGTTTGTGTGAAGAATATAATTTTTTATCTTCTCATGTGGATAAATGTAAAAATGTGTTTATTGCCTTTTTGTCACCTGTGGTCTCTGATTTTCTCTGTAGGACTGCAGGTGTCCAGGGTCAGGAGAGGCTTTACCTGGTTGTCATCCTGGGAGAGAGGCCTTCTACTGTCATCATGTTAATGTTATTTAGCTGTTTGATATTTGAACATGTTTATTAAAACAAATACTAACTGATAACTCTTTCTGGTCATTGGTTTTATCACCAGTTTTATTATTACAGATGTTTTTGAACATGTTACATGAACAGAAAATGAAAAGATGATAAGGAGACAACATTATTTATAATATGTTACACTTATTTACAGATCAAAACCAGTATGGACCAGTTTTGTACAGTTAAAGCAGGATTAACCTGAGTGACTCTTCCTGGATCATTTATTTAAACTGAGTGAGCAGGAAGTCTTTAACAGTGCAGCTGGATCTGCTGCAGGAGGATCCAGACGTGGATGGAGGGCTGGAGCAGACCCGTGGCTGGACGTTTCTGGTCAGAGGAACATCATACAGGACGGTCTGCAGAGAGAGCTTTGGGACGCTTCTTCTCACTGTCCACTCCATCGTCCAACTACAGGGCCTGCTGGGCTGGCTCAGACGACGGCTGTTACGTCTCTGTGAATGACTTGCCTGTTAACAGTAGTGGTGGTCTGCTGGTACCTCCTGCAGGACAGAGCACCACTGACCTCCTCCATTCACATCTTCCTGACGCTCATCCTCCAGACCCACAACTTCACCAGCACAAAGGCAGATGTGCAGCACAGTGCATGCTGACCTGTAATAGATTAAATAAGAGTTAGTTTTTTTTATAGAAAAATGTAAAACAAAACATAACCTGCAGTACACTGGTTCTGTTCAGTTTAAAGAAAAGCAGCAGGGAAAACTACAGAGAATTTACATTTTTAAGACAGATCTAATCATTATTAGGCTTAAGTTGAATAAACAAATGCACATTGAAAACTGTTCATTTTATTAAAAAGCCTGTTTTTAAAGCATTTTACCCTCATTTGATGCAAAATAAGTTCTAAGGTCCAATTTACATTAGAAAACATCCTGCTGCATTCAACATTTATAATGCATTTGGTTTATTTTAATTACCTACATGATAATACTCTGTAGTAATGTGTTGTGTACGTTTAACAAGTTCATTCTGTAGCTTAAAACATACATGAAACCATCTAAAGTTAACAAGTAAGTCCTGAAAGCTTCTAGAATAAACAAAGTTACTTTACCTGAAAACGGCTGTGAACAAACACTGCTGATGGACGTGAAGCTGCTCTAGCTCCTTAATATTCCTGCTCCATTTTCGCTAGCTTTAGCATTTTTCCTTTGCGTGTAGCTGCCGCCACGGCTGTGACGGGACCTACGGGCCACCGTAGAGGTGAAGGCTAGACTGTCCGAATTCAGAGCCGCTGACTTCCGGTTTTAGCGGTCTTCAAGGACCCGGCCTTGCTAGACCGGCGAGGATCCGTACTCATAAGCACCTTTCCTGTGGATTCGGACATTCGGGAGTGTCGTCTCTACAGCTCTGCCCTCCTCTCCCAATGATTGGACAGGAATACGAGAAACGTGATTGGTAGCTAAGACTCGTGCTCTCATTGGTTCCACCCAAGTTCCTCCCACTGACGCTAGAATCAATACAAAAAGATCTGTAACACTGTAGGATTTTGGTTTGTACCTGTAGAATGAAATGTGTGTTTTGAGAGTTTTGATTTCAAACTTGTAACTTGATTTTTTTCAATTTGGAAGTCTGCTAGTTACAAAACAAAAGTTTCATGTTTCTGAATGAATTTTTGATTTTACAAAATAAAAAATACATGTACAAAATACAATGTTCCTGTTACAAATTAAGAATACAAGTACGAATTGAGAATTACAAGTTATGAATCCAAAGTTACAAGTTACGAATCCAAAGTTACATGTGATGAAACATGTTCGAAGTTACAAAACTTGGTACAAGTTACGCTGAATATTGTACAAGTTACGCTAAATATTGTCCCAATCCTAGTTCCATAGATCAGGAGCTCATGCATGAAGGACACATGATGACTGAGAGATGTCTGAGTCGTTCGTACTGTTTGGGAAGCGAGTATCCGCCCAGCAGGAGGTTCTGACAAGGATAAGGAAGTCCAGTTGACCTTTTTCTAGAACTTTGACAAATAACTATTTGTTTTATGTATCTTTTGCCTGCTTTCAGAAGACCTTTTGGTTGGCGTGGCAGACTGCTGAATGATGACACAGAGACAGAGATGTGGAAGAAAACTGACATATACTGTGAACCTGAAGCAGACCTAGATGAAGATGAAGTAGACAAAACATACTCAAGCAACATCACCCTGTGTGTGGATCCGTGTTTAAATCAAACTCTGGATTAGCTGACATTTCTGTGGAGGTTTGATGGTGTAATCATGTCTTTGCAGCACTGAGGATAAAAGGTCTCAGACGTGATGCAGCAGTAAACACTTGGTTTCCACAGACACAAGTCTCTTATTTAGTTGATTTCACAGTAAAATGGTAGTTTGCTGAGGTCAGCTGCATTAACGGCAGAAAAAACAGAAAAAACTTGTCTTTGTCCCAGATTCAGAGGAAACTGTCAACAGCCAGATTTTTACAAAACACGTCTGTAACATCTGACGCATTTTAGCCAACACTATATATAATAAAACAATTCCCCCTCTCACCCTCCGCGGGTGGTCTCATCCTTCCAGGCTCGGGTCCTCCACCAGAGGCCTGGGAGCTTGAGGGTCCTGCAGTATCTTAGCTGTTCCTAGATCTGCTCTTTTCTGGACTGAGATGTCTGATGTTTTATCTGGGATCTGCTTTAGCCACTCCTCCAGTCTGGGGGTTACTGCCCCAAGTGACCCGATGACCACGGGCACCGATGTCTTCACTCTTCAGGCTTTCTCAAGTTCTTCTTTCTTGTTGTAATTCTCACCATTCGCCACCGTACTTCTCTAGTTTCTCCTGTTCCTTTTTCCTGATGTTACATCACTTGGTATTGCCACATCAACCACAACGGCTGTTATCTGTTGTTTGTCCACCACCACAATGTCCGGTTGGTCCACCATCACCATTTTGTCATTCTGGATCTGAAAGTCCCACAGGAGCTTGGCTCTCTTGTTCTCAGACACCTTAGGGGGTGTTACCCGCTTTGACCTCGGGGCTTCCAGTACATACTCTGCACAGATGTTTCTGTGCATGATGCCAGCCACTTGGTTGTGGCGTTCCATGTATGCTTTCCCTGCCAGCATCTTACACCCTGCAGATGTGGTGGATTATCTCATAGCCTACACCTTGGGTCTTGTCTGGTGTGGTAGATCTTGGCCTCTGTTGCTCTGCTGTTCAGGGCCTGTTCCTGTGCAGCCATGATGAGTGTCTCTGACACAGCTTCAGAGAGGTCTTCAGACCAGCTCTTACAGAATGTCAGTAATTCAGCTCAGACTGGGAGACCATCTAAAGGAACACTTTGCAGGTGTTTTGCATTCATTAGCTGATTAGAGTGTGACACTTTGAGTCTAGAATATTGAACCTTTTCATAATATTCTAATTGTCTGAGATTTTGAATTTGGGGTTTTCCGTCAGCTGTAAGCCTGAAGACCTGTTGATTCTTCATCCTTACATTTTCTTCATGCTGCTGTTTCTACCAATTCTGTCTTCCTTCACACCTTTAATCTTTTCCTTTTCCTCATTTGTAATTCAAACTGTTTCTCTTTGTTGTTCTTGTGAAGCACCTGTGATTTTTATCTTGAGACACTATAAAGAAAACTGTTTCCTCTTCTTTACAATTATAACAAATAAAGGTTTGAAACATCAGGCTTTGCATGTCATGAGTCTAATTAATATATTAGTTTCACATTTTAAGACAAATAAATGAAATTTTGCACCATATTCTTAGCCTGGCAAGCCAGACTAAATAAATGTATTATTTAGTCTGGCAACGCTCCATTGACGGCTCTTGGTTGTGGGGCGGGTTCTACCGTTGTCTTTCAAATGATCTCCGCATTCCACTGGACAATGAATGTGATTCAGGCTGCCTCAATTCAGGGTCTGCATCCTTCGTCGGCCGGATTCGTCATAGCGCCGCGACCAGGCCTGTCCCAATTTGAAGACTCCTTCAAATGCGGTCGACGAATCCGGCCTTCTTTTTGCCTGTATGAAGGATGGGTCCGGTGTATCCTTCAGTGGTTCACATTTCCCAAGATGCCTTGCGGGCCGGACGGCAGAACTTTTAAAAACAATGGCGGACAGTGAAGCGGGAGCTGTCGGAGAGGATTGCGCATATAAATGTAAGTATAAACTTGAAAACTGTTAGGTTAAGGGCTTTTTGTGATACGCGAACGTTATTTTAGTCAGAAATGTTACAGTAAAAGTGCTTGTATTGCGGTCTCGGCTCGTATGTTCGGCCGCTCGGTGTCGCACTTCTCCCACTATGTTTCTCTCCTGATTTTAATGGGAGTTTGTATTTTAGGGACAAAAGAGAAAACCAGGGAATTTATTAAGCTTAGGGCGGAGATGGACCACATGATCACTGGAGCAAAGTATTCGGCGGCTGTGGCATGGAGGTACAATAACATCTCATATTTTAAAAACTCATTTGAATTTAGTTTTTTCTGCGAAAACATGAAAGGAATAACCCGTTGTCCTCTTTTCTCTTCCTGTTTCTTTTCTTACATGTTTGTTAAGACTATTCTGGAGAAAATGGGCATCCAGGGGAAGGTGCCAGCGATGACCAGCTTCTGGAGCTGATCAGGGAGGACATGAGGCTGCAGAGGGAGGCAGAGCAGCAGAGGGCACAGGAGAGAAGGGAGAACTTTGACAGCTTTTTACTTTGCTAGAAAGAAATGATTAATAAAGATTAAACATGTACATATAAAAGAAATATCTAAATAAAATCAGTTCTGTATTAAACTCTTGAGTTTTATTTTTGCTTACAAATGAGAATTGTTTACTAGAGGGTATCCCGCTGGGTCTTAAAGTCTTAAAAGGTGATAAATCGGTTTTGGTCAAATTAAGACCCTTAGAAAGTATTAAAAACTATAATCACTATAATCATCTGAGCTCAGGCTCAGCTTGTCAAAAGTATTTTCTCTGAATTAGCTCTCCAACAGTCAAGGAAACGATTAAAAAGCTAAAACTTCGGGCTCCATCGTTTAAAGTTCCTTCTGCTCAGCGGTTCCACGGTTGCTAGGCGACGGAACGTTTGCCGAAGGAGTGGCGGGAATTCATGAAGGCTAGGCCTGTCAAAATGGCTGCGTCTGCAGCTAGACCTTACTCAAATTCACAGCCGTTAACATCCGGTCTATGGGGAGGACCCAGCCCACGTCGGCCGAGTAGGCTGGGTCCTTGAAGGATGCAGACCCTGAATTGAGACCTGAGACACAGCCTTTGAAACCCCTCTAGAGAGCTGTGATTGGCTAGCCAGTCCTGGTAGGAGCTGCGGAGGTTCCAATGGAGCGTGCCTAGACTAACTTTGCAAAGCAAGAATTTGGTCTAGTTCACTAGGCTACCATATTATACTTTATAGCTTCAACTGATAGTGTTGTTGTAATTCTCACCATTCGCCACCGTGGCGCTGTTGAGTCTCGTGAACCGCGGTAGGTCACATGGTCACACCAAAGAAGACCCACATCCACCTTCAGCTAGCAGGAGCTGGCATGTTGTCATTTCTGCTCTTCGTGTTATTTTCTAATTGAACGAGTTAACCAGCGTAAAACCCTGAAAATGCGCCGTCTGGGCTCCGTTCAGCAGAAGATACCGTGCGTGTTCCTCACCGACGTGAAGCCAGAACCGTCCAGTAAACGGGACCGTCAGGTGAGTGCAGCAGCCTCTTATTTATAAACCGTAACGCCACACGGTTAACAAACATGACTTTTTCTTAAATCAATATCATGCTTATGCCAGTCCGTTCTTGTGATCGTCTGTGTTGCATAAATGACTTCATCATCATCCAGCCCATCTGTCTCACCAGTGATCCGACCCGCTTTGCAGCCAGGAGGACTAGGACCTCATCACGGTCCGATACCTGAGAGAAAGGACTAGTCAGCATCTCCTCTGGACCAATCCAGAACAAATTTATTATTGCAGATGACACCTTTTAGATGACATGAGTGAAGGTATCTGCAGCGTCATTTCTGGCGGTGCAGACTCAGCAGCGCGTCCTGCTGCTCAGATAGCGCAAGGCAACACAAATTATGAAAAATGCACAACTAATTCAAACTTCTGAACCTATTATTTGGTTTTAAAACCACTGACGCTGTGTGCTGTCTAACATTATTAAAGCTAGATAATTGTGGCGTCCACGCCCACGGTGAGAAACTGAACATAGAATATTTTTATCAGCCCTGAATGACACATTTCTGTCTTCAGCAATTTCAGGTCATCGCCACCGAAAACGTGAACCCGGTTGCTGTGGAGGCTAACATAGACGGTGCAGTAGCCACAGAGAAACTGGATGGGACCTGCTGCTACGTCACCCTGCATCAAGGTGAGCAGATACAGCCTTCTTGTCTCAGTGTGAAAACTGAAATGGCTGAATTCTCTTTGCTTCAGGTCGATTGTACCTCTGGGCCAGACTCGACAGGAAACCCAACAAGCAGGCAGACAAGAGGTTTAAGAAGCACCAGCACACTCACCAAAGCAGTAAAGGTACCAGGTGTAGCTGATGACACACTCCTGGGCAGACCAGCGGCAGGTCAGACAGCTGTTGGCTTCTGTTCCAGATTTCACATGGAATGTGGAGGAAGACTTCAAAGCAGTGTCAGAAATGTGGATCCCAGCTCACAAAGTCAGACACCACAACGGCCACCCGATGCCTGACGAGCACGGACACATTCCAGGTCTGTTGGGTTTGCGGCTGATGAAACCTGGAAGATGAGACCTCTGATTGTGTTCCCGTTGAACCTGCAGGCTGGGTTCCGGTGGAGAAGAGCAACAAGCAGTACTGCTGGCACTCCTCTGTGGTGGATTATGAAGTCGGGTCAGCTCTTGTTCTTCGGCCAAGCTCTGATGAAGAGGTGTTAGAAATCACAGCCGTCCCACTGGCGGACCTCCAGGAACACACTCTGGAGCTGGTTGGAACCAGCATCAATGGAAACCCTTATGGTACGACCCTGACCTGTTCCTCAGTATCACCACGAATACAAGGGTTTCACACACACAGGGCAGATGTTCTCCATCACAGCTGAGTAACCTTCTACATGCAGGGCTGGGGAGTAAGAAGCAGCCTGTTCACTGCCTGGTTCCACATGGCAGCATCCCAGTAACCAACCCTCCACCAGTGGACTTCCAGCAGCTTTGCTCCTGGTTCCAGGAGAGCCCAGCAGGCCGAGTGGAGGGCATCGTGTGGCACTGTAAGGACGGCACCCTTGTCAAGGTGTGGAGTCTCTATGTGCCGTCAGACTGACGCATTCAAACCAATAATTTACATTTGAGTGTACGGAGGAGCTGAGTGGTTCCATCTAAAACAACTTATCTACACAGATGTGTGTGTGTGTGTGTGTGTGTGTGCAGGTTCATCGTCACCACCTGGGTCTCCGGTGGCCAGTTGGGGACACCCACCTCTCCAGCAGGTCGGTGGTGGTTCGGGTCGATGCCTACAGCTCCACCAACACCTTGTTCACAGCTCTTTCAGCTCTAAATGGACACAGCTTCAGACGGCTTCAGGATGTCCAGTTAGAGTCGTAACCGGGGTATTCGCTCTGCTGAACCTGACACTTGAGGAACCAGAAGTCTCATGAGAGTGGTCTTTAAGGGACGAGGTGTCCCCGTCCTACAAGCTCCGACCTGAAGGACTTGCCAGCTGGGTGAGAAAATCTTTGTGTGAAGAGTAAATGGCAGATTTGACAGATTAAGGCAGTTCCTTTATTGACACACTTATAAATACGTTACATGAGAAATGACTGTAAACCTACGAGTTAAGAAAAGACAAAAGCTGCTGTATAGAAAACATAAAAGAACCAGTTTAATATTAAACCCTCATTGTTTTATTGTGGAACAAACAGGATAAGGGCTGCGTTTTAACCTACGTTAGTGTGCCAGACCCTCAGTTAACTGATGGACACGCTGGGCATCTCAGCCTGGACCCCAAACTGGTCACACACCTTCTTCAGCTGCTCCTCCAGCAGGATGTTCTTCTTCACCTCCAGGTTGTAGTTATACTTCAGATCCTCCAGCTCGTCCAAGAGTGTTGGGTCAAAGCTCTCCAGCTCCTTCTTCAACCTCCTGACCTCCGCTTGAAGGCTGCTCTTCTCCGTTTCTGCTGCCTGCAGGAGGGTGTTCACTTTTCTGTAATCTGAAAATAAAACTAATGATGCAACATCCACCACTGACAGGTTTATTTTCTGTATACAATTAAACTACAGTGCTTTAAAATACTCACTAGGAGTGTGAACTGGCAAGTATCCAGTGGTTTGATGCATTGTGACGCCAAAAGTCAGACAATATTTTTAAGTCTGAATTAAAAACGCTTCTAAGACTCAAGAGTTACCCCGTGATCTCGTTCCATCAGGATAAAGGCGGTAAACCCTGCTGCCACCTAGCAGTCAGAGTGTGAATTGCACTACACAAAATAAATAGTTAACATTTGCATGAAAGTGCTCAATAAAAAAACACTTTTCCAGTGCATCGCTATTTTCTCTCATCAGAAGCTTAAACCCATCGATGAAATGAGCTACAGAGAATCGTGGAACCAGAAACGAGTAGCTAGTGTTAAAAACTAAACATAAACAATAAAAACCCAAAGCCTCCACTGGTTCATGCTGAAGGAAGGGCTGACTCTCTCACCTGATGAGGAAGCCGTCTCCCCGTCTGGCTCAGCGCTCTTCAGCCTTCAGACAGATCGTAGCTACAGTCAGGATCTCCAGAATTTAAAGTTATAAGTTCTGAACGTAGGGCTGGACAATATAGACAACAAGCTCATCGATAAAAATGTCAAAAATACATTTTACGCGCAGCCCTGGGCCCCTGGCCATCTTAGGCCATTACTTCATGTTAAAACACGTTGGTTGCATTACCAGACTTGTTTTTATCAATTCTGTGTTGCAAACCACCATTGTTTGTTTGTTTGTTTGGTTAAGTACTTTAATCTATTTTGGGACAATTTCTTCCTCCTCTCCTTGCTGCAACATCTTGTATAAATCACACTGCTGTCTGTTTAGGTTTGAGAGGGGATTGGCTGGGTGTAAGTAGTGACTAGTATGAAGCTATCCAATAGGCTGTAATGGAAAAAGGAACATTTTATTGATCCATTTGTTTTCTATTGAACCACATGTCTATTGGTTATATATATATATATATATATATATAATTGTCCAGCCCTATCTGTACGTTTCCACAGTAAAATCTAAAGTCAGATGGAGCGGAAGTGCAGACAACAAAACGGCAGCATAAAATTGTTGGAAACTAAAGTCATTTTTGACAACCTCCCCTCGTTTCAGAGGCTTTAACATGATTGGACAAGACAGAATACCTGCTAAATAAATGTTCAGTTCTAATAATGAGTAGAAAGTGGTGGCCTAACGTACCTGGTAGTAGTCTGGACCCCACTGGAGGCACCTGCATCAGCCTTTAAAGCAGGAAACCTTTTTAACACGTCAACCTGAAGGAACACATCAGTGACACTCATGCACCACTCTGTTAAATATTCAACACCTGTTGGTCACGCTAACCACATGTCATCAGTTCATGTTTTTACGTTCAGACCCTGAGACTGGGGACAGAAAACAGAAGCAGGAAGTGGTGGAACCTACACAGTTGCTACTGGAAGACTTTAATATTCACATCTGCTGTCCTGGAAGTTTCTTTAGTCTCTGATTTCATCAACCTAGTGAACTCTTAGTTTTACGCAGTGGGTTAATGTGGCCACACACTGGATCTTGTGTTATCACTGGGGTGTTCAGTAGACAATCTGACTACTAAGGATGCAGTTTTTTCAGACCATAATCCGATATTTACCCCCAGTAGGTATAGTCGTCATGTGAACTCTGACACTGCAACTCATTTCACTTCGCTGTTTGAACAAGCCTTCTTTGATTCATCAGACGAGTCCTCACTGGATGGATTGCTTACTTGTTTTAATGAGACCTGTGAGGCTATCCTTAACACTGTTGCGCCGTTAAGGCCCAGGAGGGGAAAGCGTACGGTAAATTTATGGTCAACGGACGCTACTCGTGCCACAAGAAGGACATGTAGAAGGTACGAGAGACAGTGGAAGAAGGATAATCTGCATGTTATGTGACAGTTGGAAATCTCACCAAGAGGCAGATCTGCGAGATTTGCATATTATCCAATCTCATTTCCTTAAACTCAAATAACCCCAGAGTACTTTATACAGCAATTAACTCCGTTTTGAAAGTGAATGATCACCATGTGGTGCAGGCTTCAGATAAAATGTGTGATGAGTTCCTTGACTTTTTTATGGGGAAAGTCGCTGCGCTCCGGGCTACCATGCCTAGGGCACCGGAATGCCGCCCTTCTGTGACTTCTATCAGAGGTTTGGTAGCATTTCAACCAATTAGTTTAGATGACTTGGATCAAGATCGTTGGGGAGGCTAAGCCGAGCGGCTCACCAGACGAAGTGATGCCAACGCTCCTCTTTAAAGAAGTCTTTCCAGTCGTCGCCCCTCTAATATTGCACATAATTAACATGAGCCTAAGCTCTGGCATATTCCCGACGATTTTAAAAAGGCGGTTATTCAACCTTTACTCAAAAAGCCTGGACTGGATGCTTCGCTGGCTGCAAACTACAGGCCCATTTTGAAATTTCCATTCTTAAGGTACTAGAGAAATGTGTTTACCACCAGCTCTTGGTTTTCATGGATGAGAATGCCACTGTGAGACTTTCCAGTCTGGCTTCAGAGCTCTACACAGCACGGAGACTGCACTGGTTAGAGTGCTCAATGACATTCATCTAGCGACTGATAGCGGTAATTCTGTGTTGATACTTCTGCTGGACCTTACGGCTGCCTTAGACACGATAGATCATGAAGTGCTGCTTCACCGTCTACTCAGGGATTCCCTAAGTGTGGTGCAGGGGTGTGCGAGCTGCCACTAGGGGGTGTGCGAGGTGAAAAGTGTGATGGCTGTGGAGCTCAGAGAAGTCTGTCATATGTCACCATTAGCGTAGCCAGAAACTCATTTGTGGGTGGGCCTAAGAAAAAGTAAGTGGGCCCAATAAATGTAATTGAAAACAAGTATATTTTGCGCGTGTGTCCTCCGCATGTGCCCTAGCTTCATAATAACAATGCGTCGAGCTTCAGCGTTCTGGCCTGCGCACGCCGATATGTTCCGTGTTTGATCATTTTTATCGGTGTTGGAGAAATCTGAAGGTGGTGAGTCATTCTGGCAGATTGTAATTAACACCTGTCTCATGCAGGTGTTCTGACATTGTAAACCTCACACACAGAACATTGTGGATGTAACTAAATAAATCAAGAAATGATTCCCATCTGAGCATTTTAGCATTATTATATTATTATATTAGCACACTGACTGTGGGACAGCATTCTAAACGTGTCGGGCTATTAACAGCGCGCTGAAGATCTGAAGTTCAGAGTGCTTCTGTCAGAGGTCAGACGCGTTCCAGCGGAACCACGGCTCACGGGTGCACATGTGAGCACATCAGTGCTGGGCAGAAGTAATTTTACAACATTGGTTTAAACAGCGCCAATAACGAGACACGGTGACTGGAGCGGCTCATGGAGCTGTGCCGCACACACACAAACACACACACGCGCACACAGATTCAATAAGCACACGCTGCGCCGTCAGACTGAAGGCAGAAATGAGCACTGCCTCCTCCGTGATAAAAACTTTTAAGAGGTTTTATAACAACATTTTTCATTCCAGGTCAAATTAAGATATTAGCTTCTATTTTGGGATGACGTATTAAAGTCGGGTCCGCTCCAGCCAGTGACTCCTCATGAACCTGACCACAACTTCTGTTACTGCAGCATTTGTTATTCCAGTCCGCTTGGCAGCGGATCGCAGATTCAGCCACACCAATAAACCGCAGTAAGTCGGTCTGAGGCAAAAGTGAACCTCATGGCTATAGCTTTTCCATCTTTTCCCCTATAGACATTTGATTACGCACAAGTAGGTGACCAGTTCAGGTTTACGCAGAGCAGAAGGAAGGAGAGAACTCTGGTTAAACATTCGTGCTTTAAGAAAACCGTTAATTGCATTGTTTATGTGCTACCTGGGCACTCTAAATATTTATTTGAAATTAAATCAAAGGAAATTGTAATGGTGTCGAATGTTTATTAATTACTATTTAAAAAAATGAAAGTGATGGGGAAAAGGTCGATCGTATTTTTTTAACCCTGTCTGTTTAGCTTGACGTCTGATATATATATATATATATATATATATATATATATATATATATATATATATATATATATATATATAGAGCCATGCCCTGATGTGGGGCTGGGGGGTGCGTCAACACGGTCGGGACATAGAAGGGGGTGCGCGGCTAAATAAGTTTGGGAACTGCTGGTCTACATCATTATGTTGGGATTTCAGGGTTAGCCCTGGATAGCTGGCCATTAAATGACCCACAGTCAATTAGAGGAGAGTCAGAATGTCTGCTTGGAGCAAACAATATAGCCTCTGTTTTCTGATCATTTAAGCTCAGAAAAATTTCACTCATCCAGGTCTTGATCTCCGTCAAACAATTGGAAAGAATAGAAATAGACAGACCTCCTGACGTGTTCAGAGGCAGGTACAACTGACAATCATCAGCATAAAGGTGAAAGTGAACTCCAAGCTCACGACAGATGTCACCTAAGGGCAGAATGTAAATAGAAAACAACATCGAGCCCTGTGGTACCCCCCAGGTTAAATCAGAGTACTCTGAGGAACAACTTCCCATCCTTACACACATCTTTCTATTTGTCACGTATGATCTGAACCAATCCAGTGCTTCAGTGACTAATCTTGGTGTTAAACTAGATAGCACCCTTTGTTTTGACACCCACATTAATGGAGTGATCTCCTCCTTTTTCCACCTTTGTCGGCTGGCAAAGATCAAACCTTTCCTGTCACGACATGATCTTGTGACGGTAGTCCATGCTTTTATTATGGTGCGATTGGACTACTGCAACTCTGTTTTATTCGTTGTGATGAAGGGCTCAATAGCCAGGTTACAAATGGTGCAGAATGCTGCTGCCAGATGTTTTGAGGGCATGCGCAAGTATGACCACATAACTCCTGTCCTGGCTGCATTTCATTGGCTGCCCATTGATGTAAGGATTCGTTTTAGGATACTTTTGCTGGCTTTTAAAACATTAAATGGTCTGGCCCCTCCTTACTTGGTGTCACTGCTTCAACCGTACACCCCTGCACGGTCACTCCGCTCGGAGAACCTCATGCTCCTCTCAGTCCCAAGAACGCGCCTAAAGACACATGGTGATAGGGCCTTTGCTGTGGCAGGTCCTAAGCTTTGGAACGAGCTTCCTCTCAGCATAAAGGCCTCCACCTCTGTGGCGGTTTTTAAGGCAAGGCTAGAAACCTACTTTTATGATCTGTCTTTTAGTCTTTCTAACTAGTTTTTATTGTTTTACTTAAAGTGATCCGTGCATTCACTGTGTTTTTTGTCTGTATCATGTGATCCAATGTTTTTATTTTCTGGACCTAATGCTTTATGTTTTTACTTGGTCTGTGTAGCGCCTTGGTGGCATGTTTTTGCCTGTAAGGTGCGATTTATAGATAAAGTTGAGTAGAGTTGAGTTACAGTCTGAAAGAGCTTAAAAGTCTTTTGAATGACTGAAAAACAGCTAAAAATACCTCAGTTATACTTAGTAGGTACAGTTGATGTGTTATTATCCTTTATAATTATAATACCTGAAACCTATGTGCTAGATCTGGTCTTTGTTATGATCAGTACAGGACCCTCATGCTCCTATATTTCTTCCTACAAACGGTCAAAATCCTGATTAGGAAATTTTCACTCTTTGTTATATTGCAGCCATTTGTTAAAACCAGGGCTTATTTGAGCTGGATCTTGCCGGAACAAGATCCGGGAGCTATCTTATTTTGAAAGGACCGTTCTGGCAACTGTCTGCTAGGATCCGGCAACTCGTGACAAACTTGTGCTATACGCAGGATTCGAATAACGGGTGAGCTAGGGAGCTCCTGGAAGTCCTCAACACACCCAGGGGGAGCCCAAAACCATCCTGGTTCTACTTATATTACATTATCTATGTGGACTCTCAGGGGATTATTTAGAGCTGAGAGGCGCAGAGCTCTGATCGTTGATGCGCTCCAGACAGATGCGTCCTGAGCACGGCCGCAGTAACATCCTCAAAGTGTCGCCACCTCAAAAACAAAGTTAACACGCGATTATTTATGTCGGCTCATACAGTGGTGTGAAAAACTATTTGCCCCCTTCCTGATTTCTTATTCTTTTGCATGTTTGTCACACAAAATGTTTCTGATCATCAAAAACATTTAACCGTTAGTCAAAGATAACACAAGTAAACACAAAATGCAGTTTTGAAATGATGGTTTTTATTATTTAGGGAGAGAACAAAATCCAAACCTACATTGCCCTGTGTGAAAAAGTAATTGCCCCTGAACCTAACAACTGGTTGGACCTCCCTTAGCAGCAATAACTGCAATCAAGCGTTTGCGATAACTTGCTACGAGTCTTTCACAGCGCTCTGGAGGAATTTTGGCCCACTCATCTTGGCACAATAGTTGTAATTCAGCTTTATTTGAGGGTTTTCTAGCATGAACCGCCTTTTTAAGGTCATGCCATAGCATCTCAATAGGATTCAGGTCAGGACTTTGACTAGGCCACTCCAAAGTCTTCATTTTGTTGTTCTTCAGCCATTCAGAGGTAGATTTGCTGGTGTGTTTTGGGTCATTGTCCTGCTGCAGCACCCAAGATGGCTTCAGCTTTAGTTGACGAACAGATGGCCGGACGTTCTCCTTCAGGATGTTTTGGTAGACAGTAGAATTCATGGTTCCATTTATCACAGCAAGCCTTCCAGTTCCTGAAGCAGCAAAACACCCCCAGACCATCACACTACCACCACCATATTTTACTGTTGGTATGATGTTCTTTGTCTGAAATGCTGTGTTACTTCTACGCCAGATGTAACGGGACATTTGCCTTCCAAAAAGTTCAACTTTTGTCTCATCAGTCCACGAGGTATTTTCCCAAAAGTCTTGGCAATCATTGAGATGTTTCTTAGCAAAATTGAGACGAGCCCTAATGTTCTTTCTGCTTAACTGTGGTTTACGTCTTGGAAATCTGCCATGCAGGCCTTTTTTGCCCAGTCCCTTTCTTAAGTGGAGTTGTGAACTTTGACCTTAATTGAGGCAAGTGAGGCCTGCAGTTCTTTAGAAGTTGTCCTGGGGTCTTTGGTGACCTCTCGGATGAGTTGTCTCTGCGCTCTTGGGGTAATATTGGTCGGCCGCCCACTCCTGGGAAGGTTCACCACTGTTCCATGTTGTTGCCATTTGTGGATAATGGCTCTCACTGTGGTTCGCTGGAGTCCCAAAGCTTTAGAAATGGCTTTATAACCTTTACCAGACTGATAGATCTCAGTTACTTTTGTTCTTGAATTTCTTTGGATCTTGGCGTGATGTCTAGCTTTTGAGGTGCTTTTGGTCTACTTCTCTGTGTCAGGCAGCTCATATTTAAGTGATGTCTTGATTGAAACAGGTGTGGCAGTAATCAGGCTTGGGGGTGGCTACAGAAATTGAACTCAGGTGTGAAACACCAGAGTTGGGTTACTTTTTAACAAGGGGGGCAATTACTTTTTCACACAGGGCAATGTAGGTTTGGATTTTGTTCTCTCCCTAAATAATAAAAACAATCATTTCAAAACTGCATTTTGTGTTTACTTGTGTTATCTTTGACTAATGGTTAAATGTGTTTGATGATCAGAAACATTTTGTGTGACAAACATGCAAAAGAATAAGAAATCAGGAAGGGGGCAAATAGTTTTTCACACCACTGTATTTCCTTTTATATTTTCTGTCTTTTATTTGTGCCTGATGTGTTTCGCTGCTGCGGAGCGCATCACCTGTTTCGTCCTCCAGTGAATTCACCTCACCAGTGCGGTCAGCGCGCACTCCGCTGTTTTTGCGGTCGGTAGATCTTTTAGAACTGCAGCTCAAAGGTAACTCATGAGGTGAATATATATGAACCCAGGTAGCAGTTTCTCTTTAGGATTGAGAGGAGATGCAGGAAGATAATAAACAGACAGGACAGAAAAATAGTCAAATAAAAACAAGTTAGTTTTTGTACCTGGTGGTTGCAACAAACAGACACCATTGAAGGTAATCATAAGTGAGGAACAGAAAATGAAATAATTATTTTAATGTTTAGAGCAGCAGGAACTCAGAGAGGCTGCAGGCGCATCAGTGAGTTTGCGGCTGCTGCGCAGGGGGAGGGGGTGGGGGGGACGTGACGGGACTGGGACATTAATTCAGACAGGGAATTTTGAAACCATCCCATGCCACCGCCCAAGTCATGATAAACACTAAAAGTGGGTCAGGTTGGGCGCCTACTGATCTAAAAGTGTAAAACAAGTGTTTTAAGTGTTTTTAAATTGTATAGTGTTACTTGTTTTACTTAGTTATCTTGTTGACGGACTACAGATGCTAATTAGCAACTATGCTATAATCTGGTCCATTTACGATCAATACAATGTCTTTGATTGTTTATTAATGTGCTTTGTCCTGATAAAGAATTGAATTGAACTAAACTAAAACTTCACGTGTCCTGATTCTTTCCTCTAAAATATAAATGTTTGTGTTCTGCTGCTATAATTTGTGCTTATGTTGCATAAACTGAAATTCTATTTTATTCAGTTAAACGTGCCTCCTGCTCATTGGATGAAATAGGCCAGACACCATCATCCACCTGAATTTAAGACCAACAGGTACCAGACTACATGTCTGGGTCAAAAGAATCACACCACAAGCAGAGACATAAACAAGTGTGTGTGTGTGTGTGGGGGGGGGGGGGGGGGGGGGGTCTCACCATTGCTAAATGACTGCATCATTAGAGTCATTTAGGTTTACAATGTAGTTGGCACAGATTAAATGGACAGCCTCAACAATGGAAGAAGCCTTTTGCAGATGCACATATCTCTGACATCCATATATACTGACAGACCAGCATATATGGATGTTTTCCTCATACTATTCATATGAACACCACTAATAATAATACTAGGGGTTTAAAGGCTTTGGACCAAAGACAAAATAAGCCAGAAGTGAAGGTTTATGCATTTAACTAGAAATGTCATAAATGATCATCAGGGCTGATGAAATCTAATCCAGATTAGTCCAGGTCAGAATTATCATCTCATCCGTCTCATGATCAGCAGCAGCTGGATGTTCATGGCCACAACATTCCAAGTGAAGCACACCCCTTTTATGTCTTGTGTTTGCTCACGATCCATATTTCTGTTTAGAAACCGCCTCTCCTCCATGGATGTACCTGCCTGTCAGAGTGTCTAACCACTGGTTGGTCAGCTGATGCTGCTGTCGGTCATTGCAGGAATGTGTACGGTGTGAGGAAACAGTTTTAATTTCTCTCCTCTGCCTGAGCTGATAGTGATGGGCAGCGCGCCTCGCGGCAGTGATGCACCTTTTGCGCAAAATGCGGCCCTTCCTGGAGCGCGTGCCAGACCGTGGATGACTCATGTTAGAGGACACACAGATATATTTTCAAAAATCTCTGAGATTTTGACTAATGAATCCCTGGAAATTTTACCGGTGTGCACTGTGCCCGAGAAAACGTGCTGGCATGCTGAAAGGTTATATTTAGAAGTGGCGGCGGTGCTGGTACCGGGCCAGAGCTCTGCTCTCTGTCCCTAAAGGATGAGTCTGATGATCTGATCATCAGAACCTGATCATCATGATCCGTTCCTGACAGCCGCTGTCTCTCCCTCCCCAACCTGCCCCACGTGCCCAGCACTGCACGCTGCGCAATAATTAAACTGGCCCAAAAACTCCGCCTTAAACCGGTTCTCCCAACATGACCACACACAGCCAGCCTGGACATGCTTCTGTGGGCAGAGCTTTCTTCTTTTTCAATCTCTCCTTTTCTGCTCCACCTTTCCTGGTCCGTCTAGGTCCATTTTGCCTCTGGGGCCAAAGGTGCGGTGGTGCTAGCCGCTCTGGGGTGGTGGGTGTCTGCAGCGCTTTGCCAGACCCCGACAAAGTGAGAGGAGGGGGTGTCTTTGTGCCCAGTTTGCTCCGTTTGTGCGAGCATCAGGACAGCAGATGCCCTAGTGAGCTGCATGACGGATTGCTCGTTTAGATGTTACGCACGTCATGACCGGCAACCACTGAGCGGGCCAGTTTAACGGCCAGGCCACCGGGAAACCTCCCGTTTCTCCCGATTACCGACCCGCCACTGAAGAGCACTCCCCCCCAGATCCTGAGCATGGAATACGCACAGATCTGTGCGTAAGTACGACTGATAAATGAGGCCCCAGGGCTGTGAGGTAATAGGAGTCCTGCACAAGGCTGTAGATGTTGTTCTTGAATATCTAAAGAGCAGGAAAAGATAGGCTCCTCTTTGAGCCTTCTTCATGCTGTCTCAGGTTCTGTTGGTATCCTTAATTCTACTTGAGAAGAAACATTTAATTGGGACAACAAGTAAGACTGAAGAAATCCATGAAAGGGTGAATACTTTTTCCCAGAACTGTTCCTCAGTTTCTGGAAACTAAACCTGCTATCTTGAAGTCTCCCCGTCCCTCCTGAGTCCAGCAGGAGCTAAGCTAGTGAGCTAGCCGGATTCTGGTTTGTGTGATGAATGTTCACCTGATCTTCCCGTTGTCTGACCAGCATCTCAGCTCTTTCCTCGCGCTCCTTCGCCTCCTTCAGTTGCAGTTTGAGCTCGGAGAGGCTGGATGTCTTTAGAGATAACTCCTTCTCCAACTCCTTCATCTTGTTCTCAAACATTCTGCACGACACCAAACTCAGACTCACATGCTGCCCGTTCTGCTTCATGTCACGGAGCTGTGGGTAGCAGTGCTGACCTGGTTACGACAGAAGCCTTCCAGGCCTTGCCTGTGCCCTCTGTGACGGGTTTACACAGAGCTTCTCGAAGTCTTTGTTTGGTTTCTTCCAGCTCTGCCTCGAGCTTCTCATTGGTCACTTCCAGGCTTGTCTTGGTGACTCTCATCTTCTCTGCTGCTCCCATTTCCTGTTAGAATAGACGGGAACGTTTATTACAAACAACCATCAGCCTTGTTCCTGTTTTCCCCGCTGGAACATGAATAAACGTTGATACCCGTTTGATCTCCTTACGCAGACGCTCATTTTCCACCATTATCTTCTCCAGGCCTTTAGTTTTGGATTCCAGTTTTGAAATCAGCTCAGCTTCACTTTGACTCTTTAGAGTCTGAAAGTCAGCCTGATGAAAAACACAAGCTTTCATTAGTAAACAGCACTGATGCACCACACGAAGGACGGCCACCACAATGCTTACACCTTTAGTTGTTCATTTTCTTTCTCCAAAGCAGCGACTCGGTCCAGATCTGGAGGCCTGCTAGACTTCTTCAGAGTGTTGTTCTCCCTCTGAACCCTCTCCACCACCTTCTTCATCAGCCCGATGGTCTTCTCTAGCTCGGGTACTGTTTTACCGCTGTTTCCAGCCTGGTGAGGAACACAATCATCAAAAAGACAAACGGACTCGATGGAGTCCTTGCAGTCGCCACGGTTAACCTACTCCACGTATGTGGACCAGCCTCTTCTCTACTTCAGCCTTTTCCTTTTTCAGTGCAGCGCAGAACTCCTTAAGGTTGGAGACTTGATCCTGTGGAGAACAGAGAGCAGGGCCTATAGAGCTGCTCTATAAATGTGGACGTTCTAGGGTGGTACCTTGAGTCTCGGTAAATCTCTGTTGGTCTGTTCCAGCTGAAAACGCAGCTCCAGATTCTCGGAGGCCAACCTGAGATTTTCTTTAGAAAGGTCCAGATCTCTCTGTGACGGCGTCCCCGTGCCTCGGCCTGAAGTCTAGAGACAGAATCATGTCAGAACAAGACCACAGCTGAAGGGTTTAGAGAACAGCTCCACTACATCATCAGAGGCAGATGGTGCAGAGGAGTTCACCACTGATTGGTCACTAGAGCCTGACTGTAGCACATCTATCACTACCACAGCACTACCACTTCAGCAGAGTGGCTACGGAAAGCCTGGAGTACCTTCAGGTAACGCTGAGCTCGACTGTCCTTTTTAGTGTCAACAAAACTCTCTGGGCCTTTGCTCAGTTTGATGCTGGAGTCAGCATCCTCCTTTTCCTCCAACTCAGCTGCTTCCTGCATCTCAGATGCGACTGTGACATCAACGTCGTCAGCATCATCTGGGTCTGAATCACCTTCACTCACAGCTTGACTCATTTCATCTTCTGCTGTTGCGTCGGACTCAGACAGAGTTGATCCAGTCCTCTCTGATGGAGCCGACTCACTGCCTTGTGCAGGTTGTGCTCCTTCCTGCTCAGGCGCAGTCATTTCAGGGCTAACGGTGACCTCTTCTGTAACATCTAGGACATCTCCTCCCTTCTGCCCTTCCTCCTCTTGAACCTGATCTGAGCTATCTTCAGGGTTTGATAGCTCCAGGTCAGGACAAGCATCTTCTGCTCCACTTTCTCTATCTGTCTGGCTTTGCTTTAGCTCCCCCTGGTGGCCACAGCCCTCCTCTGCAGTCTCAGGGCTACGTGGGTGGCTGCAGGGCTCAGCGGGTGGGGCTGCAGCGTTCCCTTCACACGACCCATCCTCGACATCAAAAGTGACAGAACAAATTCCTCTAAAAGCACGGGAGGAAATTCCTCTCCCCTTCTCAGGCTATAAATCCGATCAAATCCAGTGACAAAGGAGAGAAATGGAGAAAGAGTCTGATGAATGCACAGTTAAACATCTCAAGTCCTTCAACAGAACAGAGGCCAAGTAATATATCTGTTATAAATATTAGATGTTGCCATTTGGATAAAATATAATAATCATTTAAAAGTCTTCAAACTGAGCTCTTAAACCCAAAGCCTTCAGTAAATACAGCACCAGTGTTCCTTATTTGCTGGCTAAATGAGACTATTACATTTCCATTTAACTACTTACTCACATAGTAGTCATCACTATGATAGTTACTTCATGTTATAAAATGTTGGAGAAATGATCTTTTTCATCATTTAAAGCCTTAAAAATGTACTTTTCTACCTCTACTTCTGTTATTTAGGTACCAAAACTAAGAAAAAAGCAAATTTCACGTAATAAAAGCTTTCATCATGTTTCATGAATTTACTTGTGATCCTTCTGATCAATGCACCGATGTAACAGCTGATCTAAAGATGGACGGGTTGGCTTACGGAGGGTCTGGACGGAGACTCTTTGGGGGTCTGGTTCTCCTCCAGGATGTGGTTTCGTAACACCAGATTCTCCGTGGCATCATCACAAGGTGCGGCCTGCTGTTGTCTGGGAGTTCAGAGAGAAAACAGCAGTCTGGGTGTGCGTTACAATGTGAGCTGGCGTTTTCAAAGTAAACATTAATGTTTGGGGCCCGGCCCGCTTGTGTGATAAAGGTTCTGTGTGTTTTAGTGTTTTGTTTCACTCGTCTCCTCATTTTCCCCACACGAGGTGATATCAGCTATCGGCTCCATTTACAAACTAGCTCGTTTGAAAAGTGTGCTGTGATGACACACACACACGAGACACAAAGGTGTTTTTGGTTAAGTTTGGAAGTGGTCTGTTTAAAGCAGGGTGTGAAGGCCGCTGTCCTGCATGTTTTAGTTGTTGCTCTGCTCCAAAACACCAGTTCAGCCTCTCTAATTTCTACAGAATCCCCACTGGACCAGGTCAGGTGTGCAGGAGTCTGGAGAGCTAACAAACACCATCCGACAGGCCTTACATGTCTGGGAACCCCCACTAAGTTATTATCAAAGTAAAAGGACAAAAACAATAAATACTCATATTTAATGCCCATGTTTACTTCTGACCACTCAGACACACTTTAAAGTTGTGATTTGTGTCTCCAGCTCTGAGTTTTTCCTCCTCAGATCCTCTAGTTCCCTCTCCATCTCAGTGGATCGCACCCCCACCACCGGGTCCACAGCCACACCCCGAGCCTTTAGTTTCTTCTGAAGTGCAGCCTTTTCCTGCTCTAGTCTGCAAACACGGGAAAAAGCAAAAGGAAAATGAATATAAAACAAGACACAAGGGCATGACAGCTCCACTGACTTATGCACAGCTGTGCAGGAGCGTCTTTTGATTCTGGACGAGAAGAATGAAAAGGAAGTAAATCAGTCATGAGCAACATCATCGAGCAAAATCTAAGAAAGCTGTGCAAACCCGCTAGCGTGATCTACACACTGACCTGGCATAAAGGTCTCTGAGAGTGCCGAGCTGCTTTGACAACGATTCATTATCTCGTTCTCTCTCCTTCAGTGAATTCTTCACTTTTTCCATCCTGGCTTGCCATTTTTTGCTCTCCTCCCACCGCACAATTTCTTCTTTAGTCTATCAAAAAGACAAGTGATGCATCAGCTGAGTATGTAATAAATACTGAGCCAGTGGAAAACAGTGGGCCCGTTCCCGGGATGTTCGGGGCCCACCTGTTACAGAAATGTGGCTGGGCTACAACAAAAACTGTTATCGGTGTTAGTTGCACATGTTAGCATCACATCTAAATATGAAAGGTCAGCGCTAAATGCTAGTCACAAACAGACTCTTTCTCATTCTCTGTGCAACATAATAAAGAAAATACTGGTGGTTTGAATATTTAGTTTCATGAACTGATTTTCTACATCTGTGTGTTGCTGATTCGTGGATCTTTGTGATGAAAACCACCCAACCAAAGAAAACTGGATGATTGAATAATATCCTGTATGGCTGCAGAAGCTCAACGAGAGATGCTTGGATACTGAAAAAAAATCATCATCACAAATATTTTGGCCAGTAAATAAATGATGTAACACAGTCACTCATCTGGTTTGAAAATGCTGCATTTATTTATCCTGTCAGCAAACAACACATCAGACCAAACTCATATAACACACAGCACGTTCTCCGACCATCGACGGGATGTCTCTGCATGGTGCACTAGCTCGTTTATTATGGTCTGTGGTCATATTCATCAAGTTTTACATCCGTTTGGAACCCTATTTGATTCGATTTTGGATGAACAATTACAGAAATCTATGCTTTGACCACATATTTTGTCATGAAAACAAACGTTTTCTGATCAAACACCTAAAACATGCAGAGTTCACATTTCAAGGAGACAGCAGACACAGATTTGTGTTTAGTGGTGAATAAAACGTATGAAAGTCTGAATTCAGAGGTAAAATAACTTTTATCACGTTAAAATAATAAACAGTAAAGACTTCCATTAGGCCGGATTAGGATACGGTTATTTTTGTTACAATCAGATGTACGTTTAAAACACACACACACACGCACGCACAATATCTAATGAAGCTACTTGATCAATCAGTCACATAAAGAACACACACGAGCAGGCAGCGCTGCTGTAAAAGCAGAGAAGAGCTGCTACGGGGGCCTGGAGGTTCAAGCAGGACGTCGGTGTTTGAAAAAATGTTTTTTAGGAGCATCGATGCTTGGAGGTAGAATTATCAGTTAGATAAGTCTAACTGATAATTAGACTTCTCTAGTAGACAAGATACTGTAACTTATTAGTTAGACTTTCAGTTATCATCTTGGAGTGTGTGTGTGTGTGTGTGTGAGGGGGTCATAGTGGAGAATAACCAAAGCGTATTTTTGAATAGATAAACTCCGGTGGTGTGTTTTGCTCTCATTCTGTCAGCTTTTCTAAAGTTGACTTTTTAAAACACCACAGAAATGCAGATTTGACCTCAGAGGGAGTGGAAACTATAACAAAATAATTCTACAATCATTTTTTATTTTCTTAATTATATTGTTTTTGGAGCCAAATGGACACTGAGATAATTTCATAGCTGCGTTCTGAAAGCCACTCTGATCGTTCTAACCAGCTTTAACTCAGTTAAACATCAGATGATCTTATTCTGAAGCTCTGGCCGTGGCAGGATTCCCTTTTTATTGTAGTGATGTTGCAAATAGAAGTGTAAGTTGTGTTTTATAGGATGGAACAGACCGCCTCAGAGGGAGGAAGGGACCACACCACAGGCTAACATCATTTTAATTTAAGATGAAGTAATACTGAATGTAAATGATGGTGAAACTCCTGACTGTGACACACACTCATCCATCCCTGAGCCGTGGTTAACACACCAGCATCTGCACAGAGGATGTCCCACACTCAGCTACTAGAACAACACCCACACTCCTATAATCATTCATGGATAATGGTAGCAGCGTTAGAGCTGTGTATCATGTGTGGTATGATGATGATGTGAAGTACCTGCTGGTCCTGACCCTTTTCTTAAGCGGACCTTCTAGCTGACTGCTTCCTCCCAACACTAAACTAAACACCTCCGGCTGTTCTGATGCTTCTGCTACCACCGATCAGTCTGATGATGCTCAAACCTTTCCGGGATCCTCTTTGACTTCGGCTCTTTTCTCCAGGTCAGACTCCAGCCTCCTGATCTTCCGCTGTAGGTTCTCGATGGTGGGCCCTTTGCTAGCTGCCTCTGAGTGAATCTAGACGACAAACACAAAAGTCTCATTTTTCATACCAGACAGCTTTTTTCTGTTAACACTCATCTAAGAAGGAGGGATGCAGCGGGTTAAATATACGAGCTGAGAAACGCAACAATAAACCAGGTGGTCTGTTGGGATACGCTACAGGAATACCCAAATAATTAAATCAGCTCAGAAATTCCTCACGAGTTCATCTTAAATCCCAGCAGACAGAGATTTCCCTCTCGATGCATTCCTCCGCCCTCTCCTAATGGGCTTGGTATGTCTCGCATCCCAACCTTTTATCATATTTCAAGGTCTGACTGGAATCACGCGTCCACATGATGTTATGCTGGTGAGGCTGCGTCATGTGGCTGACCATGAATGCATCGATCTGCAGCTTGTGTCACAACAACCAAATGAACCACGCTCCTTCCCAAACCAGCGAGCAGGTGTGTGGTTGCACACGCTCGTATACACACCTGTAAGGCGGTGGTGAGCCTCTTGACTTGCTGCTTCAGTTCCAGGACTTCTTGTTCCCGCTCCTCCTTTTCAGCCTGCAGTCGCTTCTGGGTCTTTTGAGATCTCTGGATGTCTTGATTCAGCCCCTCCACTTCCTCTTTCAGGTTGTTCTCTCGACTTCTGGATGACTTAGTGAAGTCCTTTGCAGCTTGAAGCTCTTCCTTAAGTTCATGTACTTGTGCCTTTGAATGAAATAACAAGTACTTGAGATCAGTAAGCAAGTTGAAAAAGTGTATTTTTATGCAATCAAATGAAAGCTATAAGTGGACAAAAACAAGTCCTGAGCAGAGTGCACCAGCAGGTCCTAACTTAAACCAGTCATAACCCGTAATCTGACTGGAGTTAGAGCCGAGTGCACCAACTCAGACTAGAACCAGCCACAGCTGCAAGCGTTGCTGTGCTGCTTGCCTAGCGACGCATCGGCCCCAGCGCAGCGAGAATGGAGGAGGGAGGCACATTTCTACTACATTAATAACACAAATACAAACAAACAAAAAGGCGCTGTTTGAGAGACGATCTCGGCTGCCATCCGCCCGCGCATACAGTTGAGAAGATAAGAAAAAAAGGAAAAGATCTCCTGTCATGAGTAAAAAATGACCAGTCTGCTGTTAAAAATCCCCAGACCGGAGGGGTCCTCTATCTTCATGCCTGCTTTTGGAGTGGATCTGACAGCAAGGTCACTCGCAAAGAAGCCCTAAATAACACTAACGTCTACGTAGGGCTGGGAAATACATCAAACATTTATCGTTATCAAAGTTTCTGACTCTTATCGAGATAATTTTTCCCATGTCAGTAAATTTGATAATAAAAAAAGAAAAGATGTGTGCAGGTTGGCAACGTTCATGTCCCTCTCAGAAGCTGCAGCACCCTGAATCACGTAAAAATACATGTGACAGCCCCATCTAGTGGACAACTTGCAGTTATCATCCATTTATCGTTACCGAGGGGAAATCCTCAACATATGGTGATAGTGATTTTAGGCCGAATCGCCCAGCCCTACATCTACATTTCATTAACGATATTAAACATGAGAGACGGGAGGATTTGCCATAAAAATGTGTACAGTAAGCATGAACCCTGTTAAAACGGCGTCCAGACAAATAGGGAAAGCTGGCCAGACCCCGATGGTGCCCGAGGGTTAATGGGACCTTTTAGAAGATCAGAGAGCTGCAGGAATCATCACGTGGCTTCAGATTTGTGACCTACATGATGAAGTGCTGGGTTCCTCCAGGCCTCCTCAGGTTTCTGTTTAAATACATTTTAATTTAAAAAATATTGTAAAAGTGTGAGTAACTGTTGAATGTTGCTGCTCCACACGCGTCTCTCTGGCTGTCTGTGCTTTGTGTCATTAACACGACGTTTAATCACGTCATTAAACTGTTACATGGACATGTGGCAGCGATGTCTGGCTGCATGCTCGCAGTCACAGGCCCATTAGATATGACTGAGCTGAAACAGCTGCAGCATAAGTGTATCTGCCTACACCTTGTGATGAATTATTTTTTCATGTGATCAACTCTTCCAGTTCATTTACAGTGCTGATGAGAGGGTGAGCCTCCGGAGAGCAGGCGAGTGAGAGAGGACGATGAACGACAAACATGAGTCAGCTGAGCTCTGCCAGATTGGAGGTCAGCTGTTTTTATGAGCGGTCCTGATGTCGCTGCTCCACTTGTGTGGTTGCTTTTTGCTGCTGAATCCTTTTCAATTCAATTCAATTGAAAAACACTTTATTAATCCCAGAGGGAAATTGATTTCCTGCTGAGTAGTCAGCCAAATCTGCACAGAGCGATGTGAAAGCTAACCAGTGCGGAGCTTATTACCTGCTCTTCACTCACGGATTCAAGCGAGGAGAGAACAGCGTCCCTCCAGGACCGGGACTGGACACCACTGGTTTAACAGAAACCAGCTAGCAGTGCTTCACCCAGAGGTGATTAATGACCGTAAAACTGAAACAGAGTAGAGAAACCAGAACACGTTCACCTTCAGGTCTTTGGTGTGTCTGTCGACAAGCAGCTGCACATTGAGGCTCTCCTCTCTCTGGGCAGCATTTGCTATGACCTGCTGCTCTGCTGCAGCCGTCATCTCCGCCCGCAGTTCCAGCAGCGCCTTACTGAGAGCCTGTGAAAAGACGAAACAAAGAGCATGGTGCACACAGGTACAGCTGACACTCAATCATGCATCTCTCTGGGATTACTTCCTCTCTGCTCCCACAGTTAGCTCAGCTGTCAACATCTTTTAGAAACTGTTTTTGGACAAAACTTTTTCAGTCATTGTAACTTTTATTATTGATGAAGCGTCGATCTGATTAAAACCTTCAGCTGCTTTTCTTTTTGGGCGAGTTGTGCTTTGAGCCGTTCCACCAGGTTCTTCATGGTGTTGCTCGGGGAGCGGACCGTGGCCTCTTTCTGGGCCTCCAGGTCCATACGGAGGTTGTTCATCTCCTTCTCCATCTGAGTCATCTGACTCCTCTGGTCCTCAGTTTCACCAGTCAGAGCTTTCAGCTGGACGACGTACCTCTCTTCCAGCCTGCAACGAATCGCTTTTATCAGGTCTGTTGAAACCAGGATACCTAAAACCAGCATCACTTTAACCGATACAACATCTAAGATGGTTTAGGAGCTGTAAATCGTATGTTCTAGGGCAAAATCAGAGATCAGATCTAGCTGATTAATCTCCCCACAATAACTGGGATGATTGTAGTTTAAAACTCTGATAAGAAAGGCAGCAGGTGGTATGTAGTCATCAAATATTTAATTATTAGTCTGTCTGGACACCCGATGTTGTGAAAATGCAATTAACCTCCATCTGTTTGAGTTTCAATAAAGAATCATTGATGAGACTTCTCAGCTCTCCTGAAACTCATAAAGGTGTTTCTCTAAAACATGAGCTGGTGTTGTCGTCTGTCACTCGTGTGTGTGTTGTGCCACAGACACACACCTACCACCCAGTGCACTGTTGAACTTTTCAAAACCCCTTTAATCTGATTTACCTTTGACCCCTTAAACCCAGTCTCCTTTAATTCACCCTAAGTAACCGTTTGTTCGCTAGATTAATATTTTTCCTTGAAGTCTGACAGTATTGACCCGTTCGATTACTTTACTGGAGCTGTGAAGTTTACACTGAGCAGAAAATCCAAACCCAAGCTCTCACAACAGCCCCTGGTGGAACACAACAAACGAGCCCTGTGATTAGAGCGCGGCAGAAGGAACACAGTAAACAAGGGTAAACAACAAAACCAAGAATAAATACTTCTGTGGAGTCCTACTTTCGTTTCCCACACCTGTACCCGGTTCACTGTACTAAAACGTATCAAATCCCAAACTTTAAGACGTACGTCTAAACCGCAGACTCCACCCCATGACTGAGCTCGGCCAAGGGCCGTAGCCAGACTAAATATTTACATGCAAAGACATGCTTGCTAGGCTACGCTCTTCTTTTTGGAGTTGAACATTAATGCTGTCGAAGATTCTGGAGATGTTTTTATTTGCTGATAACATTTGGGATTTTGCTGCAAAGCTACACAACATTTTAGAAGCTTGGAAGGTTTAGATGTGTAGGGTTCTCACACCAGTTCTCATCGCTCCTCTAAGATGAAGGAGACTGGTTTGGCCTGAGAAGGCTGAGGGGACCAACACAGAACTTCCTTTTTGAAAAGAGACACCATCAGGTTGAGCTGGAAATCTGCAGCTCCTACACACATGACTGTGATCGTTTATTAACTTTATACAGACATGCACAGCTATAACTTCTATATGGAGTTTTGGTTGTACTGTAGGATGCGGTGTTGGGATTTTATAAATGTGATTTGACAGATTAAACATTGCTAACCTCAACACAGACAACCTTCCTTCTTCCTCTAAATTTTTTAAAAATTTCTCAGAGGTTCCCAAAGCTGGGGTCTGGACCCCATTGTAGGCCACTAAGAGCTACACAGGGAGTCCTGAGGTGATTTCCAGAAATGAAAAGAAGATTGAAAAACAATGCTGAAGCTATGGATATGGGTGAAAATGAGCTGAGGAGGCGTTCTTAATGCCCTGGGTTTTTAGCGTTTTAAGCATGTTTGTGTAGTTAAATCAGAGATTTCTGGGGTCACATATCTTGACATCACTGGGAACCACCGAGCTAGATGGCTGAAACCTGGACCCAGCTGGGTCTTCTAACAGGACCACAACCCCAGTCCCACAACAGATGGATGAATTAGGCCCATTGTTCTGGCCATAACCTTTTCTTCAGAGCTGAGTCCATGCCAGAACATTGGTCCACAATGGGCTAGAAGCTCACTAGAGACTCATGGTTCAGGTCCAACTCAGACAGACATTAGTGTGGGTGCAGGTAGCTATTGGAGAGGTTTTGAATTGTGAAAGGTCACATGAACATGAGCAGTTTTTTCTGTGTTTTATATAAATCCATAACCTGATGTAAAGGATTGCTGTGGATTATGTGAGTTTGAAAGAGCTGCAGTTTCTCAGGTTGATCAGGAGCCTGTAGACACGGTTGGTCACCATTGTCTGGGATGTGCAGAACCTCTGAGCGCTTGTTTGATACTGCTAATCTCACACTAATGACGACCCTTCTACCACTGCTTGTTCAAATAAATATCAGTTCTTCACCCTAAAAAAGTAAACAGAGAAGTCTATTCACTTTTCCAGTTTGTTAGCGTGTTCCTTAGCTTGAGCTTCCGTGATGCTCCTCTGTCGCTCCAGCGCCGCTGTGGTCAGCTTCAGCTTCTCTTTAATGGAGGAGAGAGAGATGTCCTGCTCAGCCACCGTCTGCTCCAACTCAGCCAGGCGCTCTAGATGCTTGGATGTCTGCACCCTGATGGTGGGCTTCTTCATCAGCTCCTAAACGCCAAACCCCACAACAGTTAGCAGCATCAAATAAACCTGTTTGAACTGGTGCTGTGATGGTTCTCTAGTTGAGCCGGGAGTCTCTAAAGAGGGCAGGGGTTCGATAATATTTTATTACGTTTAACTTGGAACTCTTTTATATTATTTAGGGACTGGATTTAATTCTAATTTGAGTTTAACTTTAATATTTTATCATTTTTAGAAACATTTTCAATGTTTTTGCTAAATATACTTAACTATTAAACATTGAAAAACTGTATTTGTTTAATGGCCTGCTAGTCGCTACTAGCTGAAACTAGCTGGTGGAAATAAAAGTTCACACCCAAAAACAAAAGGTCAGGTCTCAGGAGGATATGGGGGTTGTCTGCTGGAGATAAGCACGGGTAGGGTCACGTTAGACACGTGTTTTTGTCAGATCATCCCAGAACCAAGCAAGGAGACGGTACCATTGCTGTCTGCTTGAAGCGGTCCAGTGAGATGTCCGAGTGCACGTCCAACTTCTCATGCAACACTCTCAACTCTTCCTGATGTCTCCTGATCATTTCCTCTTGACCCTGGTCCCGACAGAGGAAATGCAACGCAGAGAGACAGTAGAAGGTTTAACAGGAGGAAAACAGCTCTGAGCTTCTGAGACTTTAAACATGGCGTTCAGGTTTGCACTGGTTCTTGGTCTCCTGGAGCCTGCCTCTTGCCATTATGGTTCCTCTCTACAGCCCAGTAAACAGGCTGGTGAGGACACAACACCAGCTTTAGTTCTCTGAAGTGGAACCAGAAGGACCTGCTACTAACGGAGCTCTGGCTCTGGTTTAACACGAATGACAGTCTCTGACGGTTAGAAACAGGATCTCCGTACCTGTCGGACCTGAACCAGCTGGTTCTGGCACTTCTTTAGCATTTCTTCTTTTTTATCAAGTCGAGCTTGGAGGTCTTTGATGGTCTGGTGGGCCACCTTGAGGGCAGGTTGACTCTCCCGCTGGTTTTCCTCGTGCTTGGACAGATCTGCCAGCAGGTGCTCCCTGGCAACAGAATCTGGGAGTCGGAGACGCAGCTCATTGATCACCTTATCCCTGGAGAGGATGTTCTGTTCTGCCTTCCGCAGAGACTCTTCTGTCTCCTTCAGCTTCTGTAGATCAAACATGTCACTGGATTAATGGTTTCACTGTTTACCTGAGAAGATGTGATGAATGCATGAACAGCGAGGAGATACTATGCCTTGTCCAGACTTTTGCACGCGGCCTGAACGTCCAAGATGGTGCGGATGTGCTCTCTGTTTTTACCCAAAGCGAACTCTAACTGATGAGCCAGAGGCAGAGCTGGGTCTGGGAGGGATCCTGTTGCTTCATCACACTGGAAATCATCATCAAACAGGTCACAAGCTCAAAAACAACACGTCTCAGACATGCTGTCTGGTTTGGTGAACTCTGTTGTACTTTAAAAAGTACATGGCTCCAAATGAAGACCTGACAACATTCAGATGCTCCTCAGTGTCACATCAGCTGCCTCTCCATGTCCAGATGGCTGTGCAACTTGGGATGGAGGTAGCAATAAAACTCTTCTGCTACCCACCCAGGCTTTGAGCCGTGGCTCAGTGAGATGCTATCTGCTCTACAAATGGAAATGCTTCGACAAAAGCATCGCATTAAGACAAATTTAGGAGGATATGTGGACCTTGTTTTATCAAACCAGACCCATAAGAACATTTTATGACTTCCCAGTTTCTCATTATGATTCTGTGTTATTTACCCAGAGGTTCCTTCACTCATTGTCAATACTTTGAATTTGAATTTATTGAATGTGAATTTCTTTGACTACTATTTTGAAGTATGAAACATATTTCTTTACCTTGTTTTGGTCATTTAAGTTTCTCAGGGCTGGCAGCCAATATGTTCTTTTTGTGAAAAAATACAAAAAAATAATATTACAAAACAAATATGATCCAAGCCATTAAAGCTCGCTGGGCTGAGGCTGTTGGCGACTAGTTGGAGACTCAAAGTTGGGAGAAAAGAAGCAGATTTGAATCTCACTGAAAATGTGGGTGAGAGATTTTGGTCCATGTTTGAAAACATGGTTGCAAAACGTGTCTCAGTTTGTTACCTTAGATGTTTTTGTCATTAAAGCAAGTGTCTGACGACCTTTAACACGCTATAGGGACGAGAAAATGCTGTAACTAGCATTTGATTTGCCAGTTAAAGAGTTAAAAAATCAATCGCCCAAGCCTGCACACATACACCACTTATAGTTTATGTACGTGAATGATTGTGTTTGTTCCCCTGCTTCAGATTTCACACTCGTCACACATAATTGTCATCTCCAAGAGATCCCAGCAGCATTTACACAACAACTCCAAGAAATATGTGACAGAAAGTCTGTCTGGGAGTTCATGAGAGATTCCTGCAGCACTCATAAGAAAGACGCACGTGTAATGAGTACAAATTCAGTCAGACTGCAAATGAAAATGGGAGAATTGTTTTATAACATTCCTGCAAATTATAGTTTCTAACTAGATCGCTGCAGGCCAGTAAGATCCTGGCTTTGGTCACCAAGGTTGTCTTTATGTTTATGTTTATTCACTTAGCAGATGCTTTTGTCCAAAGCGACTCACAATTTCTAACTTGTTTAGGGTTAACCTTGTCTTTAATTTAAGAGCTTTAGATAAGTTCGTCCAGGTCTCCTCTATTCTTGGAGAACGTTTGTTTTTAGATTGTAAGAGGCCCTGTGACTTGTATTTGCAGGAAAACTGAGAACACCCATGAGTGACTCTGGCTTTAAGGAAAAAGCAGCAACGTTTCACCTTTTCTGTGCTGCTGAGAATCTCGTTTTGCTGCTTCTCGTAGCCCTCCAGTCGTCTCTCCAGCTCGACTTCTCGTTGATCCCAGCTCAGCTGGCGTTCTTCTTGCAGCTTGGCAAGGGAAAGAGAAGATTTGTCTAAAAAATAACCACCATATAGACACATTCTGAAGCTCCCTCTGCCTGCTGTGTCAGGGTTAGGGTTATAGCGCCTTTGGCCACTCAGACAAAAACAGGGAGGAAGATGAAATATTATTTCCATAAATAACAACCTTTTCGTACAGAAACCATGTCTGACATCTGGAGCGGAGAAAAAGAGCTCCCAGGAGTTTGGGGTCCAGCACGAGTTTTACCATAAACTATTTTATAACCGTCAGATGTTCAGACGGTATTTTCAGGTGTGTGTTTGACACTCCTACAGTGAAGGACTGAAGGAAGTTCTGATCTACAACGGCTCCTCAGACAGGTTCTAGAGGCAATACCTTGAGTTATTAATGTTTAAGTTTGTGATTGGGTTCATTTCCTCTCCTTACAGTGTTTAGCTGAACAATGTCCTCCTCCAGAGAGCTGATGGTTCGGTCCTGCTCCTTCACGAGCTTCTTCAGGTATGAGATCTCCTCCTTCTGCACTACCAGCTCCCTAGCCTTCCTCAGCTCCTGGAGGCGAGCCTCCTCCATCCTCCTGTGCCACTCAGTGACCTGTCCAGGTTAGATTTGGTTTAGTAGGAAATAAAACATCAGCTCAGAAATATCTGAAACACAACAATCGCCTCTGACCTTCTGGGCACCTTTAATGTCCTTCAGTGTTAATATGAGCTCCTCCAGCCCTCGCAGTCTCAGCTCCAGCTCCTCAGCTCTTCCCTCTGCGCCCCTCCTCTCCTCCTCTGCCTTCCTCCTCTCCTCCTGAGCTTTTGTTCTGTCCTCCTGGAGTTTCATTAGAGTCACAGAAAACTTCTCCTGCTGAGGTAGAGGCAGAGCTCCGGCAAACTGCCGGCGCAGGGACTGGATGGTTTTCCGAAGGTGCATGGAGCGGCTCCTGCCCTCCTGGCGGGCGAGAAACAGAGCTCGCTCGCTAGTGTCCAGTCGCTGCTCGGCACGCAGCTTGTAGGCCTCCAGCGCCTGGATGTGGGTGGCGGAGGCCTCCAGCCTCCCCACAGCAGACGACTCACTGAGCTGCAGGGCTACAATGTGCTGGTGGAGCTTTGCAATGAGGGCCTTCTCGTCGGACTGGGACTAAAAACACAGATGCAGAGCATCGAGCATTTACATTATCATCCTACCTGTTGCAGATGGCTTCCTGAACAGCCTCAGTTCGAAGAAACAGCCTTTCTGTCCTACAGAACTGAAGTGCAAATCTGGCGGGAATCGTCAGCTCGTCAGTTCTGAAAACTCCATTTCTCTGATCTGAGGCTGTTCAAGAACAGGTAGATGGGATTTACTCCCAACTTCAAAATGGCCTCAACTAAGGTGAGCAGCAATGTGGAACGGCAAGAGGAACTGTTCTGGGTTAAAAGTGAACAAATGTTCTGTTTTTGTTTTTCCTTTTGAAGAACAGCCTCTAATGAAGCTAGCCGAGCTTTGCTGTAAACTGAAATGTGTTCATCCAGTGTGGGATTGTGCTTCCATTCAGCGTGTCCACAGACAACGTTTCTTATTGTTTCAGAGTAGACCAGCCTGAAAAACATGTAGATGAGGTGTGAAACTCATTCATTCGGTTATTTTTAGTCTCAGGGCGACTTGTTCAAGTGCTGTGAGAGAAAGTAAAGGAACTAAACAAGAGTTTTAAGCTGTTTCAGATTCAGTCTGGAGGTTTAAAACAAGGCCGGTACTTAGTGGTGGTCAGAGGGGCCGACGGCGCCAAATGGCAGCCTCGCCTCTGTCAGACCTCCCCAGGGCGGCTGTGGCTACAAGTAGCTTACCATCACTAGCAGTGTGTGAATGTGAGAGTGTGTGAAAGCGTCTTTGGGTGTCTAGAAAAGCGCTATATAAGTTCAATGCATTATTATTATTATTATTATTATTATTATTATTATTATTAAAGCAGCAGAAATAATCACAGGGTGTGATTTGAAATGTAACACGTCCAAACGCAATAATGAAAAACAAGTACACTTGTTTTTGGGGAGAAGGGACTTGTGAATAACCGTGGGGTGTAGAAAATGAGACGTGATCTTTTTGACACGGAGCAGGACCTCTTGACACAACAGCACGATGACTGGGCGACCTGAGGTGAGGGAGGGAGTCTCTTAAACTCATCTCCAGTGGTCTCTAGTATAAATGAATCCCTTTAGAGTCGATCTCTGTGGAAAAAAAGCTCTAGCGCTCCTCTTTCAGAAACTAGAAGTGATTCAGAGGAGAGGTGAGCAGAAGATGGCAGGAAATGGAGTCTTACTTCCAGATTTTGATATATCTCTCCTCTGACTGGCTAACAGCAATGTGACTCTACCTCTGACTGTTTGTTCTGCAACACTGATGTTTTATCTCCACAAATAGCTCAAGCATGAAGTTCTGCTGTGTGGTGAAGTTGCTAATGCTAACAGTTAGCTTCTGCTAGCCCAAATGTGTTCTGCTCTCTCCTGGACACTAAACCAACAACAGCCCTTCCTGTCGTGAGCCAAGATGGGTCCATGAACGTTAGCTTTCAGTGTGACATAGATCTGTGAGGCTTTTCTAATCTGAGCGTTTTCCTGTTTAACACAAGTTTCTCTTCTGTTCAATCAATTTATCAAGCAATCCTGCTTTATATCTTCTACATCTATAGTCACTGATGAAGGTGCTACCATCTACAAATAGAAACTAACAAATAAAACAATAAAACAAGCAACACTGGTATTTGCTGGAATCCCCTACACAAGGACCCTGGCAGTTACCTGTAAGTCCAGTAATTGTCTCCTTAAAGCTTCTACTTCTGTATCTTTGGACTTCTGTCGGGCCTGCAGAGCAGACACCTGAGCCATCGCCACATCAGACACCTCCTGCAGCCTGTTAAAATAAACACACACACACACACACACACACACACACACACACACACACACACACACACACACACACACTTACACTATACATTTCTCTAAAGACGATCGTTAAAGTTTTTATTTGTAAAATCCACAACAACAGGAACAGATCATTCATGTTTCTAAAATATTGATGTTACTCCCTGCCCATGAAAAACGGTTGAATTTCAGTCATCATTCCTGTGAAAACATTCTTGTCTCTATAATCCATCACCAGGGTTGTGTTTGAAGATAGCGGAGTATCGGGACAGCGTGAAACGTACTTGGAGACTTCGAAGCGGAGCTCGGCCTCCGCCTTCTCCAGCTCTGAGATCCTGGCTCGATCTGCATCGCTCACAGCTTTGCTGACGCTGTCTGCCAACTCATCTCTTAGCTCCCGCTCGGTCTTCTGGGCCTCCGCATTCATCTTTGTGAGCTGAAGGAAAACAAAACCACAAAACTATTTGGTAAAAGAAAATATTAATAGATGAGAGGAGATCAAGCAGCCAAGGGTCAGCAATTATAAAGCGAACTGGTCTTTCCACACAGGCTGTGTGTGAGGTGAAACCCCGTTCTGCACCTGGAAATGTAAGATAGCACTGTCTGTATGTTTTCAGATGGACCAAAGCTCACTGTGATGCTGATGCCCACGCCTTTAGAGCCTGACAGAAGAAAACAAATCCTCCGTGATTTCTTTGGCGTCTTACTTCTGCAAACTTGGACTCCAGCTCGGCGTTGCGCTCCTCCACCTGTCTGAGGGAGTTCCTCGTGTGCTCGTACATTTTCTGGGCATGCTCGGCTCTCTGTCTCTCATTCAGCTCCTTCATCTCTGAGGTAGTGATTTGTCTTGCTGCAGATAGCATCTCGTTGTTGATGGACGCCTTGTCTGACTTGGCCATGCCAGGTTCCACACCTAACCAAAAATAAAACATCGTGTTCAGGGTGGAATCCACCAAACCAGGTCTGTGGCTGTGTCCATGTCAGACCTAGAGGTCTAAATGGAACTACTCTGACTCAGATGTGAGAGCTCTAGAGTAGCGCTGATGGCACCATTTGGTCGGAGCACAATGAAACATCATCCCAGTCAGAACAATGCTAGCCACAATACCATGAAGCTAAGGCTGTGATACTCATCTACTGCAACATGCTCAGGAGCGGGGTCTGACACCGTACAGATGTAAACAAACCTCTGTCCCACTTGAAGCCTGAGCCCCAGGCGGTGTCTCGTAGCATCACTAAAGCCCTGAAAATCTGCTGATTATAACAGTGATGGCATCAAATTATCCCTGTAAACAACTTTCTCTGAGCAATCCTGATTGCTGAATGTCTCGATTGTACTCGTTTCATGACACGTTTCTATAATCAAGGTAAACAAAACACCACACGCTGCTTGTTTACCAGCCGGGCCAGCGCTCTCCCACGCTTGCTCTAACGTGTTCAGTTTCTCCTTCGTGATCTCCAGTTCTTTAATCATGGAGGAGATTTGTTCTCGAAGGGAGTCGTTTTCACCCTAAAAGATGGAGCAAGTCCGTCAGCTACCAAACATAAGCTAACAGACATATTGAGTGAGTAACGGAGATACTTGGGTATTATATTAATACCTGTAAATGTTCGAGGTTGGTGGTTCTCTGTATGAGACAGCTGTCTCTCTGGAGCATGTCTCTGTATTTGACTGTTAGCTCGGTGTACTGCTTATTAGCCTTCTCCAGCTCTGACGCAGGGACGCTGTCATCCAAGGCCTTCTGCAGAGCAGACATCTTGTAAGCAGCCATTTCCTGTAGAAAACACAAGACATGAGGATAAAGTAGACCTGATGAGGGTTGAAATGTGTCTTTCTGAGGACACTGTACTCATATTTGTGATGGGACTAATTTCCAGTAAACAGATGAGGATAGAAGGGATGTTACATGTTTAAATACGTGGTTGGTATTTCAACTATCTGTCCTGGTAACTTTGACTTATTCAGCTAAAAAATAGTCAAAACCAATGAAGCTGATAAAAAAGACCTGGAGATGGACAAGAAAAACAAGGACTGGTACAAATACAGGCCCCATCAAAAGTATTAGACTACTTGAAAATCGGCCAAAAATCACATTTTGCAAGGTTGGATCTTAACAAGGTCCCACGTAGAGTTGAGACAGGAAGAAATACGAGTGAGGCAAAACATTTTCTGAGCAGCGATTTATTAAAAACAACACTTAAACTGAAACTGGTCGTTGTTTTATAGTTGATCAAAAGTTTAAGACCACAGCTCCCAAAAACACCCGTAACTCCTCCAAAACACTAACATCAAAGCTCCAAACAGCAGCTCCACCGTCGTCGTCAATCACTTCACAAATTTTTTGCACACGCTTGATGCAGTGGTTTCCATACGGGGAGTGGGAAACATTTCTCCAAGTGGTGAAGACGACTGCACGGAGGGCCTCTACTGTCAGGAACTGGTGTCCATTTTTGTAAATGTCCCTTGCCATTCATCCCCAATAAGCATTACAACAGCCTGTTTCAGTTTAAGCCTTGTTTACAAAACATAATGCTCAGAACATCTTCTGTCTCACTCCCATTTCTTCTCGTTACAAGTTGAAGCTCCACCTTGTTAGGATCCAACTATGCAAAATATGAGTTTTGGCCATTTTCAAGTGGTCTTAAGACTTTTGATCGAGACTGAAAGAATGCTCAGCGAGATGAGGAAAACAAACTCAAACCTTCACCCATGAACAATCTCTTCTTATCTGCATCTCATCTTTAGGTTACAGCCGAGTTAAAACTGACAAAGGTCGTGTTGACTGTAGTGTCCATTTACTCTCCCTGCGTTGTTTCTTTTACTTCTACTGGTGCTTTATTGCACTTAACAAATCAAAAGAAATAAAGAGAAGACTTCTGTTTTATGGCATTTACCATTGGGACAAAAGAACGGATCCAGATTTGATAAACGTCATCATATCTACATCTACAACGAATTAACTTTTGAATGGCCTCCGCAGCTACACCTTAGTGTCAATGGAAAAGATAAACAAGACTAAACTGAGTGGATTAGGTCCTGATCTCAAACTGGCACGTTAGTTGACTCTTACACAACACAAGCCCTGAGCTGTAACAGATCATGAGAGATTTCTGCAACATTAAATGAGACGAGAGTTGACGGGAACTTAGACACGAGAGGTGGAAAGTGATACGCACTTCTGCCTGGAATGTTCTAAAACTGTTCCTGGGCAGAGTGGGCGGACGCTGTGTTTGTTGGAAAGTTAAAGATCCAACACAAGTTGTGAAAAGTTTGGCTGGTTAAAATGTTTATTTGTGTAACGAACTGCTGGACCTGATGAACCAACCTTCGTGTCTAGTATTTTGTACTCTTATCGGCTGTGTCTGTGGATTTTGCTGCTGCAGGGATGAATGTTTTCTCCAGTCTTGATAAAAAGCAGACAGACATTAGCAGTTTTTGATAGAGAGGTTTATCTCTGTGTGTTCATTAGAGCACAATCTTGAAAGTGTGCAGAGCTCCTGCAGAGAGCAGACGGACTTGGGCGTCTGATGATAGCACATCTGCCCAACATTCCTGTGTCGTTCTCTGCGTCTGTAGAGCATTTACACACACCCTCCCGTACTACGACGGATGATGAATTCAGCACCTTTCACTGATAAATGTCTTCTTCCTCGTTGATGGTATGTGAAATTCATCCTAAACAGCTAAAGTTTGGACTCCTGTGACATACGTCTGATTGTCTTTCTGCGCATCTGGGATGAACCTGTGACCAAAGAAGTCAGCGGCAGGTTTGATGAATGGCTTCCTCCTTGTATGAGAAAGTTTCAGCAGCAGCAGACGGTGTTGAGTGACCGAGTTGTTTTGGTTATCCTGAACATATACAGCAGCACCTCTCTTTCTCACCCAGGATTCATGACCCGCCTGGTCTTTAAGGCTCTGAGATCCCCCTGACCTCCAGATTATCACACAGTCATTTATTCCTGGTGTTAAAACACTAAACTTATCTACAGATAGCTGAGAATGCCTTCAATTTGTTTTATGGTTGACTGTTATCTGGTGAAGTTTAGAACAAAGTGATTTGTCACAAACTACTCTTACATGGGAATGACGTGTTTTATTTCTGTGGATGCTCCTTTTACGGCTAACCGGTTAATCTCACAGTTTTTGCATCTCTCCTATAATCTTTTCTGTCTTGTTGGCATTATATAAAATATATAAAAACATTTCCTGTTATGTTTGTGCAAATACATGTTATTGAACAAAATAAAGTCTTTTAACTTTTCTGAAAGAGGTTCAACCTGTATTTGGACCCGTGGAAACTCAGCTAGAGGACTAATCATTAAAACCATAAAACGACACTAGAGCAGCGGTGGCCATCCTTCTAAAACAGATAATTAACTGACGTATTGGTAGAAATGAGAGTTTCTGCTTTATTGGATTTAAATATGGAGACAACCGTCTTCATGGTGCCTATCAGGTTTAGTGTGGACCTGCCCAGGTCCAACTGTAGTGTGGCTCAGTGGTTTGAGTCTCATGATCGACAGCTTTAAGCTTGGTTTATGCTTGACGCATTCACTTTCCGCTTGGTGATGCGGATGGAACGTGCTTCACAACTCGCAGCGTTTATGGTTCATGCGGCTTGTCTCTGCGGTAAGCCAATATTCTCCCAAACTGTAGGGGGCGGCATGGAGCTCTACACGCATGCATCCAACACTTCACCATAGTAGAAGTAAAAATTACTGTTGTTTACAACATGGCATTTCAGCATTTTTAACAGCGTCCTCGTCTTTTCCGACAGTGCGAGCTATTTCTCTCCAAGAATTATTAAAAACATGTTGATCACGGTGATCTTTGAGAGCTGAATCATACAAATGTCTGTATTTATGAACCTCTGCCATACTAGTTCTTGTCGGTCCACCATGTTTTTCTACGTCCGACCGTCCGCGTGGGTAGAAAATTTCCTAGGTGTGCAGTGCGGAAACTTTGGGCCTTGCGGAGGTGCGGTGGAGGGGCGTGGTTGTTAAAATGACGCAATTTTGCCGTGCGGACCTTGCGGATGCGTCAACCATGAACGGAAGTTACGGTGTAACTATGGTTCTGTGAGTTCCTGGATGACTGCCAGTAGCAGTAAACAGAGTGGACGTATCTCCTCGCGCTCTGCGCAGGTCGAGCACTAATGTAAACCAAGTCACGCACGTGACACGTAGCGCACCTGGTCGCGAGTCTATAAATTACGCGCCGATAGCTACGTTCAGGTCTCCCGGGATCTTCTCGCCCGAGAAGTTCCGAGTGACCCCTGTGACTGGCAGCCATCCAGGAACTCACAGAACCATAGTTACACCGTAACTTCCGTTCTGTTTCGTTCCCTCCTGACTCCCAGTGGCAGTAAACAGAGTGGATGACTCATGCCAGCAGTGTCACGAGGAACATAAAACTCACCTTCACTCAGGAGGTAGCCGCCAGAGGCAGCACAGCTGAAGCGAGTGTGGACCCGTGGCCAACGTTGAGGCGGTAGAAGCGTGCAAACGTGCACGGAGTTGCCCAGGACGCCGCAGCACAGACGTACGACAGTGGCACACCTCTCATCGCCGCCCAGGATGTAGCAACACTCCTGGTGGAATGGCACACGATCCCAGGGGGAGCCACTGCACCCACTGCCACATAAGCCATTGCAATGGCATCCACGACCCAATGCGACAGCCTCTGCTTCGAAAGGGCCCGACCCCTGTTCACTCCTCCGTGACTAACAGCTGGTTCGACTGCCGGACAGTGTTTGTGGCCACAATATAGAGCTGCAGTGCCCGGACCGGGCACAGCAAATTCGTCCGCCGTTGTTCCTCCGAATGAAATGGGGGAGGGAAATACGCCCCCAGCTCGATTGCGGCATTCACGTAGCCAGAGGGCAGAACTTTGGGAAGAAAGGCAACGTTGGGCCACAGCATCTCCCCCGACCCATCTGCCTTCACCGCAGGCAGGCGGGGCTGATGTCCAGTGAGTGCAGCTCACTGACCCGTTTAGCCGACGTCACTTCCAAGAGAAAGGCGGTTTTCACAGACACCACTGCCAACGGGGAGGTAGTCATCGGCTCAAAGGGCAGCCCACACAGGGCCTGCAGGACCAGGGGAAGGTCCCAAGCAGGTGCCGGCCTGCACAAGGCAGGACGCAACCTTCTCACGCCCCGCAGAAACTGGGTCACCAAACAGTGAGCCCCAATGCTCCTGCCATCCACCAAGAGGTGGTTGGCCGAAATAGCCGCCAGGTGTACCTAAAGGGTTAAGGCGGCCCGGCCCTTGTCAAACAGGTGCCGGAGGTATCACAGAACCTCATGCAGGGAACAAGAACCAGGGTCCACGTCCCTGCCGGAACACCAGGTAGAGAACCGCTGCCAACAGCGAGCGTACATGGCCCTTGTAGACGGAACCCTGGCGCTATCCAGCACCTGCTGGATGGAGGGCTCTAAGCCGACTGGGGGCTGCCTGCTCCCTTCAATGGCCACACCGTGAGCCGAAGATGATCTGGGGACGGATGCCAAATCCTCCCCTCCATCTGAGACAGGAGGTCCCGTCTAGCCGGCAACCGCCACGGCTCCCCGTTCAGCAGACTGAGAAGCAAAGGAAACCAGACCCTCATGGGCCAGTCTGGCGCCACCAGAAGGACCTCGTGTGACGAGTCCCTCACCCGATGGAGGGTTGGTAAGATCAACGGGAAAGGTGGGAAAGCGTACAGGCGAACCAACGGCCAGGTATTGGCGAGGGCATGCATCCCCAGAGGGGCGTCGGCCTCTGCCAGGGAGAACCACAAGGGGCAATGCGTGCTGCTCCTTGGGGTGAACAGATCCACCTGGGCCTCTCCGAACTGATGCCACACCCTCTGCACCACCTGAGGGTGCAACCTCCATTCCCCCGGGGGAAGACCCCGCCGGGACAGGCAATCCGCCACTGAGTTCCTCCACCCCGGAAGGTGCAGCGCTCTGACGGAGGCCAAGCGAGGATAAGCCCAGGTCAACAGCGTCTGAGCCTCCCTCAACGATCGCAATGACCTGGTGCTCCCCTGATGGTTTATGTGGAACACCGCCGAGGTGCTGTCCATTCGGACAAGCACGTGCTTGCCCAGCAGAAAGGGCAAGAAGCGCCTCAGCGCCAGGTAGACGGTCTTCAATTCCAGGACATTGATGTGAAGCCATGCCTGACGGGTCTCCACAACTCCTGGACTGACCTGCACTGCCAATGCGCCCCCCACCCCGGGGGTGATGCATCCGCCGTGACCACCTCCCATCTGGCGGGAACCGCGCCAAGCGGGACGCCGTGACTCAGGTAGGCGACATCGTCCCAACGACGCAAAAGAGCCACACAGCTGCTCGTGACCTCCAGCTCAACCCGTCGGGTGTTGCCGGGGATCCAGGCGGAAGCCGTTGAACCACCTCTGCAAGGGCCGAAGGTGGAGCAGCCTGAGAGGCACCAGTGCAGAAGCCGAGACCAGCATCCCCAACAGTCGTAGCCACACCTGGACCGGGGGTGCTGCCCCAAGGCGAAAGGCCCGGAGCAAAGACCAAATCCAGACCCTCCTCTGCTCGGTCAGCCTCGCCCGCATGGCCACAGAATCTATGGCAATGCCAATAACATCCACCCGCTGAGTCGGAACCAGAGAACTCTTCTGCAGGTTCACCGTCATCCCCAGCGCCTCGACGTGGGCAAGGACCCTGGCCGTGGCCAGACCCACTTCGCGACACGACGGCGCGCAGACGAGCCAGTCGTCAAGATATGGCAGAACCTTCAACCCCGACCGACACAGGGGGCTCAGGGCTGCCTTCACGCACCGCATGAAAACTCGGAGGGCGAGAGACAGGCCGAATGGCAGAACCAGAAACTGGTACACCCTCCCGAGGAAAGAAAACCACAGGTACTTCCTGTGCCCCGAATGGATCGGGACATGAAAGTATGCTTCCTTGAGATCTATGGTCGTAAACCACTCTCCCGGACAAACCACCTGAAGGACATCGCGAGTCCGAAGCATGCGGAAGGGCAGCACCTTCAGGAACCGATTGAGACCCCTGAGGTCCAGTACCGGCCGCAGGGGCCCGTCCTTCTTCGGCACCAAGAAATACGTCGAATAAAAGCCATCTGCCTACGAATGCGGCGGAACAACCTCTATGGCCCGTTTGTCCAGGAGAACATCTATTTCCTGCATCAGGATGCTGACCCGTGCAGGATCTGTGACCGAAGTCACCCTGTCTCCCGAAGGGGGTGGGGGCCGACGGCGTAACTGCAACCTGTAGCCTTGGGACATGGTACGAACCAGCCAAGCGTCTCCGCATTGTGCCTCCCAGAAGGCCAGGTGCTGTAGTGTAAATCTGCCCGCCGCCGGCCCACAGCCCTCAGGCCGTGTCCTGACACCTGTTTGGGGCCCTGGGGGGGGCGGCGGCCCCTGTCCTGCCCCGAGGATCCCCGGGGGGGTGCCTGAGCTGCCCCCCGAGCGTCTCCAAGTCCCTGCTGCAGCCGCAGTCTGCTGGGTGACCTGCAAGGGGGCGGCCGGACAAAACCGGCGCCGAGGGTCCCGTGCACCTCGTGGCCTGGACTGTGGCACGGGGAGGATCCCTGCCCCGCTACGCCCACTCCAGGCCTCTGCGGCCTGTCTGGACTGCCGCCGACGTTCCAATGCCCTCTCAGCCTCGGGCCCGAACAACTAGCCCGGCACCACGGGCAGTCCGCGCAGGCTCTGTCGGCAGTCATCCGACACCGGGGCCTGCGCCAACCAGACCTGACGGCTAGCCACTACCAGTGTGCCCAACAATTGACCAAGCTCCCTGGACATCAGCCCAAACGCGTGCAGGGCTGCGTCGTTTGTATTGCCCAGTGCCATCCCCGCTGCGCCCAACTGCAGCATCTGGGACTGGGCTAGCAACAGCACCGACAGCGAATTGCTGGTGCGTGCCATCCTTGCCCCGATGTCGTAAGCCCGGCACAGTAAGCTGTCGGTCACCCGACACTGGGTGCTCGGACAGCGGACCCTGTCCCTCAATGCCTCATCCGGGGAGAGCACCAAAGAAGCAATGCAGTGGTCCACCGGGGGCATGCGGTCCAACCCATAGGTTCCTGCCTCCCGCATCGATGCCAGGGTCCTGGCATCCCTACCGTGGTGGGAGAGCATTCTCGGGTCCCCCCAGCACCGCTGCAGCTCCTCCACAATGGCCAGCGATGGTGGGACCTGAAACGGGGGCGCCGCCGGAGCCCGGCGGAAGAAGGGATTCCCCGCCGGACGGGCCACCGGCACGTCGTCCAGTCCAATCCTGGACAGTGCTGCTCGCAAAATCGCCCGCAACTGACAGGAGTCCTCCGCCAGCTCCGAGCTTGCTGAGCTATGGAGGGACATCCCAGAGTCTCCGGGACTTCCCAGGCCCAGGGGCTCCACTACCAGCCCATGACTACAACCCAGAGAGGGGCCCTCCTCCTCGAGGGACTGAAACTCGGAATTTGAGGCCCTCATAGAGATCAGGTCGTCCAAGCCCCCCTCGTCCGGGGCTCTGGTCAGCAGCGCGTTGAGCTGTTCCACCTCCGCCGGCAAAGTGTCCACTTCCTGGCAAGAGGGGTGCGTCACACGCCGCTTCTTGTGCCTCGGGCTGCCGAGTTCCTCAGCCGGTCTATCCCTTCGTCTCCCGGAACACGGATGAGGGATACCAGAGGGCGGCAGGTCTGACTCAAACAGGAGGCACTCTACTTGACGTAGCCTGTCCTCCCGCACCGCCAGCGGCAAAATGCTGCAGTTCATGCATGGGTCAGTCAGCGCCTCTCTGAGGTGACCGACGCCCAGGCACTTTGGACACAGGTCGTGGCCGTCCTCCACCTGGAGGGGAGCCCCGCATGACGTACACGCCAACATCCCTACCGGTGTGGGAGACGCCAGCGACTCCACAGGAACTGAGCGAGGACTTCGAGGAAAACTGAAGAACGCGATTCAGTCCTGGAGTTGTAAAACAACACACGTGTGTGTGTCGGCTGGGTAATCTGAGCGTGCCACCTCCACGGTCAGAACATCCAGCCCCACCCCCCTCCCCTTTCCACAGGGGAAAACCTGCGACCGCCAGCGAGCCCTATCCAAGCCGGCAGCGGCGGTCCGAACGGCGCCGGCCGCACCGCCCGCTCTCTGTAACAAATGACAGATAACAGCGTCAATCCACCGCCCCAGAGGGCTCCTTTGAGCGCTCTGACCACACGGTCCCGGGCAGGAAGATGCCAAGTAGAAAAAGTACTCACCTCTAGACCGATAAGATCCGAATCACGGACTTAGGGAGTGATTGACCAGCGAAGCACGCCAGGTCAACAGTAAGAAGATCAAAGAGACCCGAACGTAGCTATTGGCGCGTAATTTATAGACTCGCGACCAGGTGCACTACGTGTCACGTGCGTGACTTTGTTTACATTAGTACTCGACCTGCGCAGAGCGCGAGGAGATACATCCACTCTGTTTACTGCCACTGGCAGTCAGGAGGGAACGAAACAGAACCAACCTTAACAGTGACAGATGGAGCGGGAATGTGAAAGAAGAAGAAAAGCCAGGGAGACATGGTAGATGTGAAACTGAATGTAAAAAGTGAGTCACATAATTGATATGAGTAATCGATCGTGATGAAGCAGAATTACTAAAAGACTTTTCACACCAGTACGAGCGTACGGTTTTTATGACGCAAAGAGCAAGTTGAGGGCGGAGCGAGATGAAAGAAAACAGGGTTCACCTGACGGCCTTCTTCGGCTGTACTGTTTTGGTGATTTAGGTGATTAGATGTTTAGGTGAAAATGCCCTTTTGGGTCATTTTCGGTGCATCCCTACTGTAAAGTCAAAACAAATCAGTTGCCACGTTTACATGGACACAGTTAATCGGACTGAACGCCCAATAAGGTCAAAAATTCTGCATGTAAACATGCCAATCGTAATGTTCTGATCTGATTCGGCCTGATCAAAATGAAATTTCTATCTGATAGAGAGTGGTGGTTTTGTCCGATCCTCATTCCGATTGACGTGCATGTACACAGCCATTTGGATTGTTGGAGTAAAATAATGCCCACTGCGCATGTGTGCAACAGCTAGCGAGCCACACCGCTGTCATTTAGACTACCTGACTAAAAAATGACGGCCTAATTACCGAGCGTCAGCTTTTAAATATGAAGGCGAACCGTCTCCGTTTCTGTAATATCTAACCCAGAATTTGCATTTTGTGGAAGTAAAATAATAATCTGATTATTGCACAAATCATTCGACAAACGTGTTCAAGTCTGTAGTGGAAACACGCAGATTGATTTCGGGTTTGCAGCACGGATCTCCGTTTCTGTGAACGCAGCAGCTGTTCCTGCAGCCGGTGGATGGAGACGTGCTCGTGAAGAAGACCGGGTAACGTTGGTTACACAGACCTGGTTTGAGTTTAAGGAGGCTGATGCTGAGTAGAAAAACATCCTCAGTTAAATATTCTGGGTGACGATCTGTGCAAAAACACGTTAACACAGATGAGATGAGATGCGGTTCGTTTAACATGATGAACACAGGCTTCCAGACTTTTACTTTGTGGGTCCAAAACTGTAAATCAGCTTCAGGAATTGGAGCTAGAGGAGGTGGATTACCTTGTACCGCAGCAGGTAGCCCATCCTCTGGATGACTGAGGCTTGCATGCAGCCACTCTCATCCCTCAGCTTGCTGTTTTCCCTACGGAGGTGCTGCTCTTGCTCCAGCAGGATGGTGTAGCGCCGCATGAGTTTCTTCTCGTTAACCTTCAGGACGGTCAGCTTGCGAAAGGCTTCGCTCAGCTGTCTCTTGATTTCCTCTGGGTCCCTTTGAAGAGTGTCCAGCAGGTCCTGATGAAGGAAACGCATGGGTTCTAAGAAAACGCCTCTATACAAACGTCCCTCTTCTTCTGAGAGTTCATCCCTTCTTTTCTGTAATTATTATTTAAACATAAAGTTGAAGCTGTTGAAAGTTTGTTACTGAACAGCCTAGCATTTTTAACACATTTTTTGGTTGGGTGTGAAGTTTTATTTTTGTTGGACTTACATTGAACTGCTGGATTTTGACACCATCCACCTGCTTTTGCTCCTCCAACGTATTCTTAATCTCTGAGAATGTCTCAGTCTCCTTCTGCCACACTGTTTTCTCACTAAGAAAATCACAAAAAGCCCTTTAAACATGGATTTCTTTATCAAACCTCCCTTCTCCCGTTACCACACCTAAGAAATTCTTTGTATAGGAGTCCCTGCTGATGGCTGATGACAGCAAATTTCTCCTTGTATTCTTCCAAGCTTCTTGTGAGAGTTTTGCTTTTTTCCTCCTTGTTTCTGAGCTCCTGAAATCAGAAATGTTGCAGGATTCTTTAAATGGCAAACACATTTTTTATTATAGTATTTTCAGTCTAGTAATGCTGACCTGGAGCAGACGGACAGCATATTCATTTAAGGAGCTGATGACCTCAGTGCTGCTGGGCCCCAGACCCTCAGGGAGGGTCAAAGGTCGTGGGAGGACTCCACTGCCACCCAACTTTCTGAGCAGCTCTAATTCATCTTCAAGTTGGTTCACCTGGCAGACAAAAGTGATAGAAAATCCATCAGTTTCACTAAAAAATGTCATTTGTACATCAAAGCAGCTTCTTTGTTGACATCAACTGAGAAATCTGATGACTTAAATAAATGCTTTGAAGACAACTAATGTTTATGTTTATGTTTATTTATTTGGCAGACACTTTTATCCAAAGCGACTTACAATTTATAACCTATAGGGCATGTTGTGATCTGTGGGGGAAACCGGAGGAAACCCACGCATGCATGGGGAGAACACGCAACTCCACGCAGAAAGGCCGCAGCCCAGTTTTGAACCTGCAACTTTCGTGCTGCGAGGCAACAGTGCTAACCACTGTGCCACCATGCAGCCAACAACTTATGTGCCAGCGTGTCCTCTAAAGTTATATGATGGACAATCATAGAAGAAGATGATTCTTATTATTCGTAGACAAAACGTGTGCTCTAATCCTCTGTGCGTTTGACTTCTCTTAAGGTAACCTGGTTTTAATAAAAATAACCCAACAGATGTGACAAACAGGAATTTGATATTTCAACTCATCCTGAACCGCTTTCCTGCTAAAAGAGACGATGCAGATAAAAAAAATATCTAACTGATTCACCACAATCATTTTTCATCCTGACACACACGAATGTACCTTCTCCTTGGCTCTGACGAGCTGACTGAAGCTGCCGGTCGCTTCTTCACGAGCCGACTTCAGCTCCCGTCTCAGCTCTTCGTTTCTCCCCACCAGCTGATGAATCTGGGACTTCAGGTCTGAGGCGGGCTGCCCACCCATGATCCTCACATCAACAGCCTGAGACCAGAGGCACAAAGACGAGTCAAATGGGGTTCAAGCAAAAAACAAAAACAATGCTGATAAGTAACAGATGCAGCCTGTGAGAGAGGAAATATCAATCAGGATTCAGCCTGCTCCTCACGCCAAGTTTATCACATTAACAATAATTACTAACACACTCTAAAGCCACATTTAGTCCAACATCAAACTGTTTATATGTTATGGTGCAGCTGCTTCATGGATGTGTCTGTAGCTTCTACCACTGCTGATGTGGCTTCTTAACTGGATCTGACCTGTTGGGTGTTGCGTTGCCAGGTAATGGAAACAACAAAGAGTGAAGATTTATGTAGTTTTCAGCTTAACAATACGCTCAATAAAGGTTAAAGGTGCGGGGCACTCATTTAATCAATACATCTGCAGTGATCTCTAGTAGGAAGGAATGCCTTGCAAGTCGTACTCTGGGGAAAAAAGCCCTGGTGCATGACTATTTTCATGTTCAGCCTGCATGAAAAAACTCAGAGTGAGGAATAATAATCAGAATAAAATCAATAAAAATTGTTCAGTGTTCCACACCTTTAAACTAACAGCCACCGTAAACATGTCCTACAGGCATCACAGAATAGGACAGAATAGACTTTATTGATCTCACCGTGAGGAAATTCACTTAGTAAAGCAACAGTTTTTCACACTTTAAGCTGTTGCTTTCAAACTAGTTTCAGTGATTCTTGAGTCAAAAACTTGAGCAACTTTCCATTGGACAGCACTCTGTAGCCCTCTGCTGACCAGAGAGCGGTTCATTAGAACTGCCAATCAGAGGCTTCTACTAGTAGGTAGGTGTGAACTTCAGTTGGCCAATCATTTGGTAGTGGGTGTGTTGGGTCAACTCTGCGCGAAGCTGACCGCTGGAGAGCTGGTCCCAAAAAACCCCAGATGTGAACACAGTTAACCTACCAGGGCTGGTCTGGGCCGATTCAGATGAGAATGCACCACAACAGTTTTGTGGTTCGGGTAGGAACACTAGAGAGAGGTCTGGGCCTGTTTTAAGGCAACAGCTGTAAACCAGTCTCATTTTCTTTAGCTCTTCGGTAAACACAGGGGGGTTTGGGTTTGTTGTTACCTTTCCTGTTTATGTTTCTTAGCTGTTTACCATGTCGGAAAAAATATAAAGGCTAGCAGTTTGCTTTTTCAGTTTGCCGACCAATAAAAGGCACTAGAAGAATTTAGCTTTCATTGTTGGCATTATGGTGGAGCCTCGAAGTAAAAGTAAGAAAGTACATTCTTTGAATGTGAAGTAAAGAGCTAAAAGACAGCAGTCAACATCGGCCCGGCCTTCACTGCTTTGAGGGGCTGACGGAGGCCACGAAATGACAGACATATAGTGACCAGGCTTTGTTGCAACTGGACTTGTAAGTAATAATGTTTTTTTGTCCAACAGTGTTTAACTTTGTGGCTTATTTAGTATCAGTTGGCTTGTGTTAGCATTAGCTCATTGTTAGCATGAGCTACGGCAGGCGGTGGAAGGGTTGTTTATAATAGTTTCTGCTTTCAACCAGAAGGACTGAGAAACAGCAAACTTACAAAGTTTTGCTTTAAGCATATGAACTTGTTTTGTTGTCTCATACGACTGGGTTAAAGCCACCCAGTTAGCTCAATAATTGCATAACAATTATAGGACAGTCCTAACAAGATGAATTGAAAAGAACAGGATTTTTAAAATTTAGTTCTTTTAGTATCAAGCTTTGATAAATTAATGCAAAAAGCACAATGTTCCACTGCTTCTTTTGACTAAAACACCTGCTTGATCCCTGTGAGGGAATCTGTTCAAATATGGAACCTTGCCCATCTACCAGAACAAGACGTTCTGGTAAATAGAATATCATCTAAACCTCTAACTTCTCAGGGTTAATAAAAAACAACATCAACTATGAGTCACAATTAGAAGAAGAAACACTTGCATTAGGCAGCATTTTCAGATTAGAAACAGAGACAGCATCATCACTCGTCTCCTGATTAATCTTCAGAGCTTGAAGAACATCTTTCAGCGTGGCCTCCAGATCCCTCTGCACCTTTGACAGTTCTTCCACTGTGAGGTAACACATAGGTATGAATGGTAAAGCAAAGCAATGGGTTCTGGGATTTTAAACTCATGTCATGAGTTAAGGTTTGACAATCCAAAAATAATCAGTCAACTAAACATCTGACTGGTATCAAACAAGTGTGTGGTTTATGAAAGTGATTTAGTCTCTACCTCTGAGCCCAGATCATACTTACCTTTAACCTGAAACTCAGTCTTGTGGCACTCCAGCTCTCTCTCTTTACTGCTCAGCTGCTTTTCAAGGTATTCATTCTGCAATGTGGACCAAAAACAATGTAAACATTGACATGATAGAATCAAATTATCTACAAAACAATCAGATGTTTGGAAAAGATTAACTTTGTTCCTCTGAAAAGATCACAAATCAAAACTCTTGAGCAGCTAACGTGTGCTAAACTACCAGCACTGCTGCTGGCCAAGAAACAAAACCTCTGGAGTGGGATTAACTAGCAGAGATCACCGAGAGCTTTCACATGGCCTAAAGAAGTTGAGCCGAACTGGACCCATTGAGAGTTGTATCCCAGTAATATCTCAGACCTGCAATCATGAATAACAAGAACTTTATTGTCCCGAGGGAAATTATTTTGCCATGGACACACTCAGGGAAACAAGAAGACAGTAAAACAGTAATAAAAAAAAAACAGAACAACAAATTGTAACAAATAAGTATAACTAGCAGCGTGGAATGAGGGATGCGACAAACAACACGCAAAATCAATCACCTACAGAGGGAGGAAGAGTCATAGCTACAGGCATCAAGGATTTCTGCATTTGGAGGCTATCAGTCTTTGATGTGTGAGCTCTGATGGCTCATTATGGAGGTATGCATTAGGAGGGCTCGTTCCTAAGAAGCTTCTTCAGCATTCTCCTCTCAGAGACCTCCATCAACAGCAAAAGAACAAGATCCTAAATACAAGCAGCTTTCTTCGTAAGGTGGCTCAATTATTTCCCTTTTCCAACAGCCTACTCAGCGTGACTCAAATCGATTCGGTCTAGGTGGGCGACCTTTCCATCAGTAACTGTGTTAGCCAATTACAGACCTATCTCACATCTACCTTAATTATCTAAACTGCTTGAGAGGGTTGTATATTTACAGTTGGTTGCATTTTTAGACACTCACAAACTCTGGGAGATCTTTCAGTCAGGGTTCAGAGCAGGTCACAGTACCGAGACTGCACTTTTAATGGTTCTTGATGTTTTTTTAGCTTGTGACGGGGGGATGCTGTTATTCCTTTGATGTTAGATTTGTCTGCGGCCTTTGACACGGTCGATCATGACATACTTTTGGATCAGCTACAACATTGGGCGGGAATTACCGGTGCAGCCCTACAATGGCTACACTCCTACTTATCCGACAGGAGTTTTTGTGTCAGTGTAGGTGAAACCTCCTCGACCTGGGTGGGACTCAAGTGGGGTGTGCCACAGGGGTCTGTACTGGGTTCGCTTCTTTTTGCTGTCTACTTACTGGAATCTTCTTCGGCGGTTCGGCATGCGTTTTCATTTTTATGCTGACGACTGTCAGATCTACCTCCCCCTTCAGCGGAGGGTCGATGGGTCAATATCAAAGCTTGTAGATGCCTTAGAGGATGTGAATCCTGGATGGCTACAAACTTTTTACATCTGAATGACACTAAAGCCTGATTTATGCTTCTCCGTCTGCGTCAGTGCGGAGCACACGCAAGTACGTACGGAGTCAAGCCCACTTTTTTAAACATCCGTCGAATGAGACGGATTACACAAGCTTGTGATTGGTCAGGACGCCGCTGTTGTTTACAGCGCCGCCATTGCAAAAAGAGCCGAGGATAACTAGCGGCAGACACGGAGAAGCTTGAAGAATACCTCGCGAAAAAACTCTAAAAATATGAACGTTTCATCCTCCCGTGACTGGAGGAGTGAAAAGATGCGCAGCAAGCGTTTTATTTGTGGACGGAAATGACAGGAAACGTGGGTTTAGAGGTGGGGAGCGCATGAAGCAGTGGGAGAATGAGAGACAAATATGTCCGTGTTAAAAGTCTCTTATATACACAAAAACCACAATATAAACAAACGATCTTGGACCGACACATGAGAGGATACCACAGAACAGCGCTATGTCCTCTGTGGTCCTGCCGGGCAATTGCTTTGCAACACTCCCCAGGAGATGGAGAAGTAAAAGAGCAAAACGCTTCCGTCAATCCGTGCGTGTCTGTCCCTTGCGGAGCTGACGGAGAAGCATAAACCAGGCTTAAGACTGAAGTAATTGTACTTAGCCCTGGCATGTCTACACGCCCATGCAATGCTGTGAATCTGGGCCCTTTAGCATCCAACATGAAGACCACCATCCGAAATTTGGGAGTGCAACTGGACTCAGCCCTTAAATTCGACGCGCAAATCAACCAGGTTGTGCTATCGTGTTATTTTAACTTACACCGACTAGCCAGAATTAAGCCCCTGCTGTCCAGAATACATTTACAGACTGTCACACATGCTTTTGTTCTTTCAAGGCTCGACTACTGCAATGCACTGTATGCCGGCCTTAGTCAGGGTGCGGTAGCACGCTTGCAGTTAGTACAAAACTCAGCCGCTAGGTTCGTGACAGGCACTAGGTGCAGGGAACATATCACCCCTGTGTTGGCATCCCTTCATTGGCTGCCTGTGCAATACAGGGCAAAATTCAAGGTCTTGGTACTGGCATACAAGGCCTTACAAGAAACTGCTCCAGCATATCTTGGCAACCATTTGCATAGACATGCCCCCTCGCGGGCCCTTCACTCAGCCGGCAGGGAGTTGTTGATCGTTCCACGCACTAAGTGCAGGTCACAGGGGTACTGTGCGTTCTCGGTGTTGGCACCTGCACTTTGGAACCAGTTGCCTTTGGTGGTGCGTCAGTCAACCTCATTGGGGTTTTTTAAGACTCTCCTTAAGACCTATTTTTGTGTCGAGGCTTTTCAGGTTTAGCTAATTTTACCCGGTTTCGATGCCCCAGCCTGTTAATCTTTTTCAGGATTTTATTTTTTGCTTTTAACTCTCCTCTTTTAATTGATTTTATGTTGGTTTTACGATTGTTATATTTTATTATGATGGTTTTATGTTTTTATTGTGTTGTGTTCAGCACCTTGGGCGTCTGCCTTGGATGCAGAAGGGGCTTTATAAATGAAGGAAATGAAATGAAAGTGGTCTGCGGTAGCTGCCAACTTTCAGTATCTGTCTCATTGTGGTTTCAAGAGCCTCTTTCAGAAAAGAATGCCGCACCACAGTGGCGGCATCAGAGAGCTTTAGGTCTTTTATAAGTGGTCACATCGTGACGATAATGTTGCGCAATCGTGTCCTTTTTTACAAAACATTACACAATGGTGGTATAAAAGGGGTATGAGGGCGGTCTCTGCGCTGCCGTGGACTTCTGTTTATCTTGGACATAATTTGTTTTTTTTTGTTTTTTTGGCGATGAGATCTGCGATCGCTGAGTTTTTTTCACAAGCTGCTCCTAAAGGTGTCGGTCCTCCACAGTCCCCGTGCAGTCTCTGGTGATCTAATGGAGGGAAGCTCCTGGAGCTCTGCATTGCTCCAGTTTATCATCTCAGCTGATTCTGTTTCCAAAAGTGAAACTTGCAGCCCGCGTTTACTTTAATTTTCAATACAGTTGCTGGTTGGAGCTCGGCAGTAACTCTCCAATTGATCATGACATCTCCCTATTTTGAGCCAAGGCGTAAAATGCATTCACAAGTTCGGCGTTGCAGTAATATTGCCGCCACGACGCGTACATAAGATACATCGAGGCGGCAGTATTACGCTGATTTGCTGACATGAAGTGTCTTCTAAAACGGGCTCTTGTTACCGATTGTACTGATTGGCGTGGGTAGAATCAGCCACCAGCAGCTTTCTACTTGCTTGATTCATTACTAATCTGGATGCAGTGAGGCAAACATATTCTCTGACTGCGGCTCGGACCGGCCGCTCCAGCATGATGGCTGTCTGTCTGCTTGTATGGGAGATGAGCCCACGGCAGCATTATTGCTCAGTGAGAAAGTAGGAAGATGTGTGCTTCATGTCAGAGTCGCCAAAAGCAACACTGTCAATGCCCACTTTGTTTACCAACTTCTGGTGCTTGAGGAAAGCCTCCACAGACTTCTCTTCTTCAGCGACAAGCCCACGTGCTTGGAGACATTTGCATTCCTGAGAACAAAACCTAGGCAAGTGGGAGTGGGCTGTCCCCACCCGGCCCAGGCCGAACTGACCTAAGTACGAATGAGGCATAAAATAGTAAATTATCCTTTCTGACCTGGAAAAACCTTGGGATCTCTCAGGAGGAGCTGGACAGCGTCGCTAGAGGAGAGGGAGTCTGGGTTTCCCTCCTGGACCCTATTATGTCCTCTCTGGACATATAACTTATGTTATATCTGATCCTGGACAAAAGGACTGGTTCCAGTCTGACCAATATCAGTTACCCAGATTCGCTTCACAGATCACTGTAATGCCTAACTCTCACTGATATGCAATATTGAATTCATACCTCAATAAATATTCAACCAGGTGTTAATGATTCAACTTAACAGCTACAGAAGAAATGTAGTAATAGTAATATTTTTGCTGTAGCTGAGCGGTGAGAAGTGCAGTTATTACTCAGAGTCTTACCTTGAGTTGGAGCTCTTCATCAGTGTAAACTCCTGGTTTGAGCGGCATCTTTCTGCTGAGTCTGACATCTTCATCCAGCGGCACTGGGATGCCTGCAGAGACAGATGTAATGTATTTAAGTGTGATTTCACTAAATCAAACACTAAAAGCTTTAATATTGGGTTCAACACAGAGACTCAGCATAAAATAAAGATTGTCAAATTATTTTGAAATCTACTAAATCGTAGCGCAAATCATTCAACCTTTTTTCCCCCCATGTCCTGTCTGGCTGTGAAGCAAACAGAATTGATGTCTGAATGTTGGTGACAAGCCTTGCAGATTTACTCTCAGATGGAGCATCAAAGCTTCTGCTTTAATGTCACGCCTGATACTTAAAACTTTATTGGTATTGTTTTTTGAATGCTCTGTAATTCAATTAAATTTCAATTCAATTCAAGTTTATTCATACAGCACCTAATCACAACACGAGTCGTCTCAAGACACTTCACATAATAAAACATTCCAATACATTTCCGACCAGACATGGAGACAGAGGTGAAAGAGAAAGGAAGGAACAAAAGCAAGAGATTGGGGGGGGGGGGGGGGGGGGGGGATTCCACAAAAATAAACAATCAATGATGAACAACAGTCTGCTTCTAGACCTGCAGAAAGAGAAAAACAAACCAAAAAAGGGGGACACACAACAACACAACTAGAGCAAACTATCACTGTGTCAACCTGATGAGGAAAAATACAATCAATATTGTTTTACTGAACAATCACATGATAATAAATCAGTGCATTTAGTGCCAACCACAGCCTTAAGACATGTGTTGAACGTGCCCAAGTCCATACTTAATAGAGCATCATGTGAGCACCTGTGTGTGTACATGCACTTGTTTATGTAAGGTTTCTCTACAGGAGCGTCCAATAGAAAGTGTGAGGGGCCACAGATCTGCCCCCAAAGATGTGTAGGAGACGGGGGGAGCTCCAAGTCCCAGAGATCCAGAAGCTGCCCCAGAGCACAGGGACCCCAGGGGGACTGTAACCAGAAAGCCCCAGCCCCCTCTCGAGAGGCACAGAGGGTTGCCCCAGGGGGTCACAACCAGCAGCCGGCAGTCTCGAGAGATAACAGCGGCAAGCCCAAAGGCCCGCCCGCAGCCTCCCACGCCCAAGCCAGCTGAGCCCGGGACCCAGTGCCCCGGGACCCAGGGGCGACCAGCCCCGCCGGGGACCCAACAGTGCCCAGGGACACAGATCCCACCAGGCAGCCACCGGGAGCAACCACACAGATGCCAAAAATCTTAAGCCCCCTGAACCGAGGAGCTGCGAACACACAGGCAGACCAAGGCATCACACTCAGCAGCAAATGTGGCGGGGGAGGGCAGGTGAAGATGTGTAGCAGCACAAGACGTCCCAAGAGATGGGAGGAGACCAAACCCCACCTGATCAGCCATCTTGCCCACACCAGCTGATGCCATCACACAGTTCCGTCTGTCCCTGTGGACTGTGGGAATGGGATCCATACCCACACCCCCTGACTTCCCCACCCCTCCCAATTTGTCACGCTGCCTCCTTCACAACCCTCGACATCCTCCCCCAGAGGATCCCAAACTCACTCAGACCAACCGAACTCCACTGCCCAGCATTCCCAGCGCCAGTCTTCTGGCCCACGTCACCCGCCACATCTACATAAGGAAGTGCAGCTCAACGCCAAACCACTCAGTCATCATTCTAACCAAACTGTGCTCCGAGTTCCGACCAGATCCAACCCGATCACTCAGCCGTTCCTGACCAGATCAGCCCGAGCTACTCACCCTGCCGACTCAAAGTAAGTCAGCTTGTTACCTTTTGGAGCCGCCGTGCTCTCCAGTCATTGTACGGTTTGACTCCTAGAACAAACCGCGTGTGAATCTGCCCGGCGTCAGTCACTCCGTGTTTGGGTCTAAAAACACGCTACATTCCGAACTCTCGCGCCGGTCCAGCTCAGCTCGAGTCAGGCCTTACACAATTTGGGATAGACAGAAATAATTTTTTAGAATATAACCAAATTAAATCTGTAACTAAACACATTTTTAATCTTAAAAAAGTGGAATTCCAAACACCTACAAGGGTATTGGACTTCTGTAATCTCAACACCCCAAACTACTGTCTAAAGTATATGACACTGTTCAAAATTGAAAATACAATAGTAATTCCTACAGAAAAATGGGAGGTGGATTTATCAGTCAGCTTTGATCAGATTTTTTGGTTTCATACTCGTTTAAAAACTTTTGAAATGATCAGAAACCCCAATTTGCAATTAATTCAGTACAAAATTCTGCACAGAGTACACCATACAGGTCATCGGATGTTCAGAATGGGGTTTGTGTCGTCTGACACCAGTACACACTGCACAAACAACATTCTTGACAATTATGTCCACACACTGTGGTTCTGTCCACCAGTTCAGGGTGTTTGGGGTAGAGAATGTGAAGACCTGTCAAAGTGTCAGAAATGTCATATCCCAACTTCACCCTCATTTTGTTTACTGGGAAACCTGGATGATGTCCCGATTGAAACACCTTTGGTTCACGTGGATCTGACTGCCATATGCATCGCTAAGAAAACTATCCTCATAAATTGGAAAAATAGAGATACTCTTTGCATTAACCAGTATAAAATCTTTTGTTAGATCATATAACATTTGGGGCGGGGGTCTGGGGCTGCTGTCCTGCTCTGGGGGTGCTTGGGTTGCCTCGTGGGGTGGACTACTGGCGGTTTAGAGTGGGCCTTGGGGGGCCTTAGTAGGGGCCACGGGTTGCTGCCTGGTGGCTGCATTACCCCTGGGTGGGTCTGGGTGGGGGCCTGGGGGTTCGGGATGTGGGGGCGGCCGGCCCCGTGCGGGGATCTGGGCGGGATCCTGGGGATTGGGTCCTAACTTGAAGGCTGCCGGGAGGAAGGCGTAAACACACATGGCTCATGGGATCCCAGGTGGACCTTGGATACTCTGAAATATTGGTAACAATTCTGTTCCATCATGGAGGAGGTGGATGTCCAGAAGGGAGAGGACCCAGTCTTACATGGATGTCATATGTCTTAACTATTCTGGAAGTTGGGCAAATGCAGGGATGGGAGTAGATATTTTGCTGGGATGGGGCTGGTTTGGTGCCCTCGGACTCCGTGGGGCTCTGTGATGCTGCTGTTTTGGGCTTTGGTGAGATGGGCTGGGGTCTCCATGCCCTGGGTGGTATTTTGGGAACGGAGGTGCCTATTGGGGCCAGCGGGGGAGCTGACTCCCTGAAGGGCTTATGGCCCCCCAGCCATTCCTCCCCATCCCCTGACATTTTCCTCCTACTGCTCCCTCACATCATCACACAAACAAATCATTCAACCTTAATGTTTTTCTGTTTCCAGAAAAGATTAAAAACCAGAAAAGTAGCTTTTCAACATGAGAGAATTTTTTTGCAAAAAAGAAGAAAAAACTAAAACAAAATAATGATTTGATGCTTCTGCTTCAGGTACTGTACGAACAGTCAGAGCTTTTGTTGATGCATCACGATGGATTCATCTGAATATTTAAAACCTCTGACGAGTGTTTCGCTACAGTACAGCTAATAATAGGTCTATTCAAAGAGGAAACAACAATTATTAACACCCCTTTCACCACATACACAACAATCAGAGCGAACCAGAAAGGGATTTTACTATAAAAGTGGATTAAAGAGTATAAAGGACAGTCAGGCCACAAAAAACAAATAAAAAAACTCCTTGATGTTTATTGTTTCAAAGCTGTTAGGTTGTAAGAATACCCAAAGATGAAGGCACCACGAGCCCTTTATTTGCGTGAGAACAGTTAATGTGCTGCTGAATTCTGTCCTATGTTGTCTAATGGATGTAAAAATGTGTTTCATGAATTCACTGTGCATCTGCAACAGCAGAGAAACAGCATTATTCTCTTTTGATTGAAGCCCAAATAGCTAATGCACTAAGCTTTTATTTCTTCTTAAATTAGGTCAAAGTGCACAACATCAGTTTGTTACAATGGTTTTAAATGTGTGAAACACTGAAAAACAATTTTTTTATAATTATTTCTGATTATAATTAGTCACTTAGTTTTTCATGCAGGCTGAACATGAACATGGTCTCCTACACCTATCTCCTGCGTTAGCTTCTGATTAGAAGGTGAAATTCTAGGATTAGAAAAGCCAGACAGATCTACATCACGCTGTCACTTAACATTCACGGATTTACCCATCTTGACTCACGACGAGGAAGGCTGTTGTTTGTTTAGCTTCCAGAAAATAGCAGAGAAAGTCTCAGCTTTTGCTAACTGTTAGCTTTAACAACTCCACCACACAGCAGAACTCCTCCAGACATGTGTTATTTGTGGGGATAAAACATCAACGTTGCACAGCAAACTGAGTCAGTCGTAGAGCAACGTTGCTGTTAGCCAATCAGAAGCGAGATGTCCAAATATCAGGAAATAAGACTCGTGCAAGCGGTGCACACAAGCTTTTTTCCCTACAGTACGACTTACAAGGTATTCATTCCTACTAGAGACCACTGCAAATGTGTTGACTAAATGAGTAAACCACACTTTTAAATATATTGTTCAGATAAAACACTTGAGAGGGGACCAGTAAAAGTTTAAGTGCACTGAAACACTGAAGAAACAAGGCTGCCTTAAAGCAACTGATATGGTACTGAATGCACACACGATTGTGGTGTGATTTAAATTTGTGAATTCACCTCTTTCCTTCGCCATACGACGTATTTGTTTCTTTAGCTCTAGTCTCTCCTCTTCTAGTCGTTCAATCTAGAGAGAAAGAACAAACATCAGCGAGTTCTTCAGTTATAAAACAACTTCTGGAACCTTTGTGAGCTCAGTGTACCTCTTTTGCAAGAACTTGATTTTCTGCTTTGTACTGGCGCTGCCTGAGAGTTTTGGCCCGCCTGAATTCTGTCAGATCCACTTCCTGTTTTGGTTCCAGACCTGAAAGCAGAAAAAAATCAAGCAAAATTGCTTGTTTGAATATCACAGCTTCAGGGGATGCACTCAGTTTAAAACACACTGAGTAACAAAAACAAGAAGTATTTTTCAAGGATTCTGACCCAGTTTTTCGCGAAAATCCTCGTTTTCATCCAGGAGGTCATTGATTCTCAGCTCAAGCTGGTTGATCTCTATGGTCATGGCCTCTGCCTCTTGATCTCTCACTCTAATTTGATTGTTACACTCTTTGATCTCAGCAATGGCAGCTTCCAGGCCATAAGTACCCTGCCATGCACAAACAGGACAGTTCATACACACCTGTACTCCCTCAGCTCTGGGTCTTTTTGTCTCAAATACTTTTTGATTAGATTTGGTGAAAAACAGACATGTAAACTCAGAAACCATGTTGCTCACACCACAGTCATGCTGGCATTTAAGCATCACTTTAACAAACAAGCCATATAAGTTAAAAAAAATCACAAGCCTCATTTCCAGGAAATTAAAAGCCAGTTAATTTGATTTTGGATGCTGCGGTTGTCAAAGTCAAACACAAAGGCGAGAGGGTATTGGTAGACTCACAGACTCATATTGGCTCAAGCGGTTTGAAGCCTCAATGAGGGCTTTGTCCTTCTCCTCAGCATCAGCTTCTGCTTGTCTTAACACTCGCTCTGCTTCCACGGCTCTTCTCTCTGCAGCACTCAGCTTTGACTTCAGCTCCTCTGTCCTCTTCTGCTGTGAGGTTAAAGGCCCGCCTTGGGACAGCAGAGCGAAACAATAGCTTATACTTTTGTAAAGAAACCCTCCTCTGGCTTTGCAACTGCTTCTACCAGCCAAACAGCTGCTAGAAGTATAACAGTGAATAGATCAGAAAATCATTTGGTTAAATACTCGTAATTAGTAAAACAGGAAAAAGAAACGACAAATGCTAAATTGTTATCTATGTACAATAACTCTCCTAAAAACATGCCAGTCTTGCTTGAAGGGTGGCTCTAAACAGGACATTTATACCAACGCAGGGCTGGGCAATATGGGAAAAAAATACAGAAAATATTTATCATTTCCATCTATGTCAATATGTAGCAGTATAAGACAAATCACTATTTTTGTTCATTTAATGTTCCCTGGTGAGATCTGGCAATATTAGAAGGTTATTTTTTTTATTAAAATTTCTTTTCAAAGGCTGAAAAAAGCTGTCATCAGTCATGTCAGTGGGTTTTTGAGTGTGTGAATTAAAATCCTTTTGGCTTTCCATACATTTACTTCTTGCTCTCAGAGGTTCTACATGATTGAGAACATACAATGATCACTATGAGTACACCTGACTACATTTGTCAGAAAGCCTTAAGTTTCCTTTCAGAATAAACATTTTCTATGGGATACCATACTACAAAATCATCATCATCATTTTCTTTATAGAGCACAATTAAAATCCAGCATGAGAGCTGACCAAAGTGCTTCACAGGCTAATAGAGAAAAGTAAAAACTATAAAACCAAAATAAAGCAATAAAAACACAGATAAAACATTAAAACAAAAGCAATAAAACAAATCATGGACTAAAAGTCAATCCATTGAAGTGAGTCTTTAAACGAGATTTAAAAACCGCCAGAGAAGGAGCCTGCCTTACACTAAAGCCCTTTTCAAATTGACATTCTGGAATATGTGTAGACAATTCAGTCCAGTTTTTAACCAGAACTGTGTTTTCAGACACACCACTTTTGCACCTGAACTTGTCCTTTCGGCTGCCTTCGCACAGCAGTGAAAAGTTCCAGATGTCCGAGGGGGAGGGGGTGGGAAGGCTGTACCCAGATATTGCGTAAGCATAGTGCGGAGGGCGTACATGCGTCATTTACCCAAACAAAGCTATTCAGTCAAACGTGGCCGATGAAGAGATAGAATTCCTCACACTGATCGGACTTATGTTAAGCATAATTCTGCGCACACAAAGACGCATCAGAGACCTGGATGATGAAGCTCAATGGTTAAAGGAATCACGGAAGTGGTGTGAGGCGCTCCGTCGCGCGTCTAGGAGACGGTACCGTCAGAGGCGAGCTGCCATGGTTCGCCGCATGCTACAGGAGCGAGCTATCTAGGTGTGCACAGCGTCCCCCGGTCCCCTCCTCCTCCTCCCTCTCCGGAACTTGACCTCACTGTCTGAAGCAGCCACCCTGTCCGTGACAAATCTGGTTCTGTTACTAGGGACTTCGTCCGGCTTAATTACGGAAACGATTATCTGGATGTTTGTATTCAGACACAAAGGTCTTAAGGACAGAGTCCCGAACATTTCAGTTTTTCATGGCCTGTCTTAAGGGGGCTCAAGAGGCAGTGCATTCCACAGCAGAGGGGGGCATAGATAAATGCTCGCACTCGCCGTGATTTATAACACATTCTGGGAGTGCAGAGGACGAGGGGATCTGCTGACCTCAATGAAAGGAATATATCGATATGGCAATATATCATGATATTATTATATTGATATTCAAAAGCTGTGTATCAAATTTTTGGAAGAACTGACATGCAAACATTTGTGTTTCTTTTGGTACAATTCAAACACCAACCGTTAGATGGCATCATTGTGCATTGGTTTTTGTTTCCACCACTGAAATGTAAATCTCTCTATTATGGTTCAGATACCTCCTGTTAAACCGGTTACTATCAGTTTGGAATGTTTTTTAAATTTTCCTACGATAACTTCAGTTTAAACAAAATTGCTAACATCACATATCGCAATATATATCGTATCGTACCTAGGGATGAGTACCGAATTCGGTACTTTTTAAGGTACCGACCGAATTCCATAGTACCGACCGAACACCGATTCACGTCATTTCAAACGGTGCCTCGTTTCGGTACTGCCAAGACAGTTGCGCATGCGCAAGAGCGTTATGTCGCCGGTCCCTGCGAGCCCGTTGTAAACAGGGCAAGCATGGTAGAAAGAACGCACGCTAAAGCTTGGGTCCACTTCACTAAATGTGATGGGTAACTGGGTGATGAAACTAGCGACAGACAACAATCTAAGTGAGACATCCTCATCTTAATCTGCTCCAGTAGGTAAATAAAATGTTTAAGATAACGTTACCTTGATTTGTTAGCTTCCGTTTCGCTAATGGTGCGTTCGCTTTCTCCTCGGAACTCCGATTTTCCGACTACAAGAACATGAACGCGCTCTAAAGTTTGGCTTTACTTTACTAAATGCGACGGGTGATTGGGTGAAGGTAAAACCAGTGACAACGATCTAAGTTTGAGGCATCATCGTTTTAATCTGCTCCAGCAGCTAAATAAACTGTTAAAGATAACGTTAGCTTGATATGTTAGCTTCCATTGCCACAGTTATCAGCTAATGGTGCGTTCGCTTTCTCCTCGGAAATTCTAACTTCCCAGTAGGAAAAATCAAATGAAAAAGGACGGCAAAAGGAATGAAGATACACAGTAAATTTAGTTCACAGTAAAGATGTTTGCTTCAGTTTAATTATCAGCTTATAAAACTACAAGGACGATGTTAAATTACAAACTTGTATGTTATTTATCGTGATATTTATCAAATATGGTTATATATTGAGAAAAATATATATTTAATTATAAAAGAGAATTAAAATAATAAACACTCAAAAGTATCGAAAATTGGTACCGTTAAGTACCGGTATCGACTCGTAGGTACCGGGAATTAGTACCGGATCGATTCAAATGTCAAAGGTACCCATCCCTAATCGTATCCCCTTTATACGTATCGTATCGCCCGAATGTCGATTATACACATCCGTATAGGGGTGAGCAGATCGGAAAGATACACAGGTGCCAGGTCATTTAAAGCCTTGTACACAAATGTCAGAAGCTCGAACACAACCGGAAGCCAATGTATACTCCCACAAATGTGAGCCATTGATTGCAAACAAGATTTGTTAATTTGAACACACAATAATGTGATTTCCCTAACAAATCCATTCAAGCCCATGTTGCAAAAATGAGCACACCCCAATTACAATCTTAGGAGAAAAGTCACAACTAAATTCACATTACCAGGCATTAAACCACTAGTGAGTCTAATGATTCATTTAAGAGATAGGTGACCTGCCAACAGCTGACTAAAAAAGGGCATTACTTAACACAGAAAAGCCCTTCCCATTTCATGCTGTCAGCAATGGCTCCACATCAAAGAGAAATGTCACAAAATATGAGAAAGGAAATGATGTCCCAATCTCCTGGTGGACAAAGATGGCCATCCCATTTGAGAATACAATTCACAATGGTGGGTCAGTGGTCGACAGTTAGTAAAAAACCTCAGTGAGGCATGACAAACCACATCAATCTCACCAAGACACTGTGCTGAGGCATTCATATACAAAAGGTCTCCATAATACAGAATAGACAGAAATGTTGCAGTAACTTGTTGTTTTATTGCCTCAAAAGAAAAACACTGTTTTATTTTCGAAAAAAGAAACCCAGTCTGAGTTTGACTTTCTTCACAAGATTATCTATATGGGGCTTGATGGAGAGGGACTCATTGAGCCAGACATCAGGATCCTCTGGAGGTTTTCTTCCTGTTAAAAAAGAGTTTTTCTCTCCACTGTCGCTAAATGCTTGCTTAGCATGAGGATTGCTGTGAAGTCACAGGCACTTGATGCAATTTGCTGGGTTCCTTATATAGGAAACTTTTACTGATTGGCTTAATGAACTGACCTGTATTGGAATGTTTACTATGTGAAGTGCCTTGAGACGACTCTTGTCGTGATTTGGCGCTATATAAATAAACTTGAATTGAATAGAAATTAAATCTAAATCACACCAAGAGAAATCTTAAACAATTCAGTGAACAGGCTTATCATTAGGATTTGTTTTTGGTTACTTGGAGGCAAATAGATTTGTTACCAGATGTCGAGCTAGCATGAGCATTCACCAAGGGGACTTTCATGGAAATTTTAAATAAGCACGCCCCCTCAGGAAACTCAGAATCAAAGGAAATCCCTGGTTCTCCCCCAAACTGTCAAATATTATCAGCGTAATATGTCATGGGCCACAGCCAAAAAAGGAAATCTCCTCTCTGATTGAGCAATCTTTAGGCAACTAAGAAATAAATGTACTTCTCTCATCAAAAAGGCCAAATCAGGCTATTACCTATCTGTCACAACAGAAAACCTGAAAAACACACATAAATTTTGGAAAGTGATTAAGTCTTTATCTGTCAGCTTACCTTCTCATGCTCTTCCAAAATTTGTCCTAAACAACTCCGCCCCAGTGTCTGATAAAAATGAGGTTTTAAACTGTTTTAACCCTCCCACTGTCCTAATGGGTGTGACCTCACAAGGACAGTTGACCATTGAGCAGGATTAATGGTTTATCACTTGGGTCCACGTGGCAGGGGTGAGGAGTGAGCACCACCTCACCCCAGTGAACAAGAGGGGTACCAAAACTGAACCCTGTGGTACTCCCATGTGGGCACCCAAAAATTCTAAGGACAACCCATCACATTTAACACACTGAGTTCTGTCCTTCAAGGTGTCTGTGAGATTGCGTGTTCGGACAATCCCACAAAAACAAGCTTTTGTTTTATAACAGCATGGTCTACAGTGTCAAATGCCTTTGACAGATCAATAAAAAGTGTGGCACAGTACCGCTTTTTATCCAGAGCAACAAGTATGTCATGGATCACCTTTGTAGCTGAGGTGATGGTGGTGTGCTTTTTTCTGAAAGCTGATTGCAGAATTGAGAGAAGGTCATTTGAATATAAAGTCTTACAATTATTCACTTACTTATGT